TTGCTTGTGTGATGTCCTGGTGGGGCACAACTACCTACCTACCAGAGTTTAGTTGACGAAAGCCAACCAAACAAATACATCTTCCATACATAAGGACTGGCTCTTCAAAGCTGCTAAGAACTCTTACTTTGCTACAGTAAATTCTAACTACTTATAATTGGCAGAGAATAATTTCATTTGTAAAGGAAAATGTATATTACTCACTGATACTCAATAACAACAGTAGATGGACTTCCAAGGAAAAGAAAAGCTGGTCAAATAACCTAAATAAATGAAGCTTACCCTAACCCAAAATTCCCCCTGGTTCCTACAAGAGACACAACTGTGTGTATACTGCGATATCTGTTTATCACAGCTATTTTCACTGTAAGATTTAAAAGCTAACCCTGACACACAGATATGATGGTTTTGATAACCTTGTTCATGATAGCAGTGTATATTTATCTTTGTTTACTTTCAAGATAATGTTTGTGAGTAGGTTAGCAGATATTTACTAAACTGCATTTTGGCAATGATGTGTATTTTGTATCGGCTGCATGCTAAAATATTTTCTTGTAGCAACATACGGATGTAAGTCATGAACTATCCTGCAATTTATAAGGTAAAAAAAATAGTGAATTTTAAGCTGAAACGAGAGGAGCGCTGGTCGAACGGTTAGGACGATGGGTTCTCACGTGGGAGACCCGGGTTCGAATCTTCGGTAAAAATGGGGATTTGTCCTGTCGGGGCAAAATAAAATTACTGCACAGTCGCATAGTCGTGGCGACAACCCTAGCCATGCGAATGTAAATCCTTAGACTCAAAGACCCTCCACCCACCTCCCGCCTACACTGCTAAAAGTATCACAGAGGCATTAACTGGCAGTGATGAAACAGAATAGAAAGATTCTTAGAACACTACTGATCAAGAAGAAAAAAGAAATACTGACATTTCTAAACGATCTGGGTGAACAAAATGGGCTCACAAACAGCGTTTTTTTCTTGGAAACTGAAATATTTTATACATATCAAGTGGTATAGTGAATTGGAAAAAAAAAACAGTAGCAGCCGGCATGGTCTGCCCCTCCTTCCTGGTACCATACTATCTGCTATTATTTTTCAACTCGGCCGTGATGTTTGACATGACCAAACTATTTCAGTTTCCTGAGACAAGATGCTGTTTATTAGCCAATATTCCCTGATGTCAACATCTTTTTAAATGTCAGCATTTCTCTCTTCTTTGTCCAGGACAATCTGAGAATCTTTCTATAGCATTTCAGCTCAAAAATCTTTATTTTCTTTCTTAAAGACTGGGAGATATCCTGCGACTCACATCCGTCTACATGGAAGATGCATGCTCTCAAAATTGTAATTTTGACTGTTTGACTTGCTTTCATCAATTCTCTCATAATTTTGGACGGCTGTATATTCTATTGTTAAATGAAGTGCAACTTTGTGTTAAATGAAGTGCAACTCTGTGTTAAATGAAGTACAACTCTGTGTTAAATAAAGTGCAACTCTGAGTTAAATGAAGTGCAACTCTGTGTTAAATGAAGTGCAACTCAGTGTTAAATGAAGTGCAACTCTGTGTTAAATGAAGTTCAACTCTGTGTTAAATGAAGTGCAAATCAGTGTTAAATGAAGTGCAACTCTGTGTTAAATGAAGTGCAACTCAGTCTTCTCTATATTCACCTTTCTATAACCTCTTTGTCTCATTTTCTCACTGAAATATGAGCACTTCTCTTCATCTCTGGGAGTCACCCTGGCAAAGCAGCTAGACGCTCGCCGCCGATCAGAAGGTGGTGCGTTTGCTTCCTGGCGGAGCCAGACTTTTTTTCAGAAATGACCTTGGCTCCCAGGTCGACTCAGCCTTGAGTGGATACCGGGTGTAGTCCCGGGAAGTAAAGGCGGTTGGCGTGATGCTGACCATTCGTCCATCTTGTGCCGATTGGTCTATAAAAGTATAGGTCTAGCCCTATATGCCCTAAAGGCATGGAAAAAGATCATTTACTGTTGTTTTTTTAAATATATCTCTGTTACATAACAATCTAAAGTAATAATATGTAGTCATAAATCATAAACAAAAGAATATTATAAAACGAACACAGTACAAGGATAGTAATATAGATGTATTGTGATCACAAATTCCTTAATTTAAAAAAGGTATAAATAAACATTTTAATAGAAATCCAAAAACGTAATTTATTAACGACTCACAGCCAGGTATTTAAACAATATAGAATTATAAAGTAAAATGCAAACAAATTTGGGAGTGTAATGCTGCAAATTCAAATTATAATTCTTAGATGAAATATGCATCATTGTTCTCTGATAGGCTCTTTCGTCTTCAGAAATATGCAACCAATAGAAGAGGTAAAAATGTAATAGTAATCACTATCCTGTAGTAACTAAAAAAAGAACACTTTATAAGCCTTGAGACATATTGCAGCACATCACCTACAGTGGTTCCTCAAAACCTTAACGTTTCAAAATTGGAGCACAAACACAATTTTCAAGTAAATATTGCCTCAGAACTAGAACACTGCCATGGAAACTAAACACCGGACACAGGCCAGCCATGCACTACCACATCATCCTGAGATTTATGACTTTGAGTGGATGGCAGCCCAGTAAGGCAGATCCCAGATACAAGTATATACTGGAGCAGTCAGGCCAGTCATGGAATATGCCTCCATTGCATGGGCTGCAGCAGCCAAGACAACAATGGGAAAACTGGACAAGGTTCAGAATATGGGATTAAGGATTGTTCTCAGAGCCATTAAAACCACCTCCATCAGAGAGATAGAGAGAATAGCAGATACTGAACCACTCGAACTCAGAAGACAATACAAAACTCTTTTACAGTATGAGAAATTAAAAAGACTTCAAAGTCACCCACTGCATTTTAAATTTCAAGAGAGAACAAAAAAACAGACTGAAGCGTCAGAGCCCCAACCATATTGCTAGAGAACTCTACAGACAGCACCAAGATCTGCTTGAAAGAGATGTTGCACTGTGCGAAAAACATTGGCCAGAGCCATGGACAAGCAAGCCAGAGAAGGCAAGTATAGTCCTAAAGGTATTAGGGATCACTTCAAAAGATGCCCAGACGGAGACACAACAGAGAACCCTGGCTCTTGCTATGCTTGATGAGAAGTATCCAAACACCACTTGGACTCAGGTTGTCACCGACGGCTCTGCTACAGATGCAGTCAGAAAGGGGAGTTGTGGAATATACATTAAACCCCCTAGCAGTAGAGCAGAAACTCTGTCTCTACCAGCAGGTGACATCTGCACTAACTTCAGAGCTGAGGCAACTGCCCTCCTCTCTGCAGTCCAACATCTCAATACTCAAGAATACAGAGGGCACAAAATTGTTATACTTAGTGACTCATTGTCTGTTCTCCAAGCACTATCAAGCTAAAAACAAGACAAACTAATTGCAGATCTAAGGACCAACATTGGCTTACTCTCCAAGGAAGCAGAACTGGTCTTGCAGTGGATACCAGCCCACTGTGGTATTCAAGGAAATGAGAGAGCAGATGAGTTGGCAAAAGCTGGGAGTAATCTTCCACAACCTCATCCACCACACAGCTACAAGGAAACCAAAACAGCGCTAAAGCAGTCTTTTAAGCGGGAGTGGAGAAAGCAGAATGGAGATTACAGACCAAAGAGTGACATCATAAACAAACTCAACAGGAAAGAACAAACATCAATTTTTAGACTTCGGACAGGACACTGTAGTCTTCGAGCACACCTGTACAGGATAGGCAGAAAAGAATCTGCTGCCTGTGATTGTGGAGCAGAAAGACAGACCCCTGAGCACATACTGCAGTACTACCCTAAACTCTCCCAGCAAAGACTGTGGATCTGGCCCAAGGGAGCCACATTGCAAGAGAAGCTATGGGGGACTGGTGGCGACCTTAAACGCACAATCCTATTTGTGACCCAGACGGGACTCAATGTTTAGCATGACTGATGTCGAGCACAGAAGAAGAAGAAGAAGATCCCAGACACCCTGCTCAACCTCAGAAGAAGTTATAATTATGGTACCTGTGTAGGTCAGGATGATTTTCTTTTAGGTCTGCCTCCATCTGCTGTTTGGTGTGTCTACTTCCACAGTGAACGCTCTACAAGTATCTTTGGATTCATCCTCACTAGACAGCTGAACCACTTCACTCTTTGTTTCTCAATTAATTTATTATGTATATTGTTCAGGTAGTTCTTCTAATCTCTTCGCGTGGAAAAGGGTTCTTTACTTACTTTTACTTCACCTCTCACACGATCTCTTCTGCTTTTGTTTGCAGCCTTTCTCAATTCACAGGTAGTTAGTTTACTCTCATAACCGTACTTCTATCATCATGTTTCACGTCAAGTCCATGAAGTTAATAATATAAATAAAGTAAATAAACAGTAAGCAGTTTAAAAGTCATAAGCAAACATCATAGACACTTACTAAAAGAAGAGGAAACAAATTCTTAAAATATGACAGAAAAGTTAGTTGTTTATTCATTACAGGACACTGCAAGCCAACCCCAGCATTTGAGCATTTGTCAGCTTTTTGTGATTTTACTAGGCAGCTGAATCAAATTAGGTATTTTGTCATTATGAAACATGTTGTGTCAAAAAGGAAAAGGAAATGCACAAGATTCCAATACAGGATCATCTCGACTTACAACTGACCAGTTCTTATTTAAAAGGTCGAAAGTCTAATCTGTCGTAAGTAAATAGTTAACACTATTTTCATTCAAGCAGGTTATAAAAAATTTAAATAAAACACGAAGATTCAATCTATGTACATAGCATTAGTGTACATAATGTGAAAAATACATACTATGAACTCTACTGAATAAGTTTCAGGAACTTTTTGACCCTGTCAATGTGGTTATCTTTCTTTATTTACTTTTTGAATTTGTATGTATTAGTTGTGGTCACAAGTGTGCATCGGTCGCAAGTCACACAGGCCTAAGTTGAGGAGAATATGTATTCCTTGGTTGAAAACAAAAGTTGAAGCTTTCACAATCACTGTTTGGCTTGTTTTTCTCCATTTACTGTATTTGCTTTCTTTAGTGGCTGATATAGTTTAGCAACACCATTCTCCTTGACAAACTGTTCTGCTTCTTGCAAGTCCTCCTGAAAAGAGGAGGTTGTGGCTGCTGACAGTTGTGCAAACAAGTCGTCAAGTTTGGTTAGGTCTGGTCTGGAACCCTCCAAGCGAAGCTGTTTAGGGTGGAAGCCGAGTTCATTTAGCTGAGTCACCATGATGCCTTCAGCATGCTGCCCACGTAGGAAGGAAACAAATACCAGATTTGCCGGGTAGACTTCATCATGGTACTTCTTGAACAGTTCAGCAAAACTACAAATGAAAAAGAATTATAAGAAAAAAAAAATAATAAGGAAGCATTTAAAAATTATTTCAGCTGCACTGGTTAATAATTTTAGCAAAGAACACACAAACAATAGCTGCACAATTAATGGCCTGGCATATTTCACTGTATCTTGTCAGTAAACAGAAATAAAGGGCCCTTTTCCATGCCTCTGGGCATATTGGGCTAGACCTTTATTTTTAGACCAATCGGCAATTAGTGGGTGATGTGGTCAGGATTACACCAACCGCCTTTACGTCCCAGATAACCACTCAGTGCTAGGTCTATCTGGGAGACAAAAGTAATTTTTGAAAAAAGAAATTACGGCTCCATCAGGACCCAAACCCACAACTTTCCAATCCACAGACGAGTGTCTAGCTGCTACACCAGGGCTACTCCTTCATATTACAGTAGCAATTAAATAAAATGAAGAAAATAAGTGAACCCTGAATAAATGAAGTACAAATTCAACATTCTCTATAGCAACTACCTGTTTTACCAAGGCAGTCGCTGACTTACTACAATGTCTTTCTGTTAATAAAGATCTGAAAATATATTTTTCAGTCAGCATCCTTAGACAGATGATGGCTTTCAATGTGTTTCTAGCTTTCCCAAAGAAAAATTGTTTTTCAGAAACTTTCCTGGCTATTTTATTTTGAATTTTAACGTGTGTGGTCTTGAGAAGCATCTTATCATAGTTGAATGTTGAATTAAGAATCGACTTCATAGCACTTGAGACACCCTCAAGCGCTCGGTCCCCATCTTCAGCAGCAAGCAAAGAGATAAAATTCTAATGGTACCAGTAACTGTCTGATTGTATGTCCGTCTCGCCTTTCCCCAGAGTGTCAAGCGTCGGCCAGATCCCCTTGTAACTCGTCGCAGTGCCATTCTCCTCAGACCGTAATGATCTATCTGTTCTTCAGTACTGTTCACTCGCTCTCAACGAGCCCTCACAACAACATCTCATAGTTATAAAGTTCACTGAGCTAATAGGTCTGCAGTCTCAACATTCAACAGCTTTGACTACTGGGGCAGTGTGACCAAAATAGATGTTTTCAAGTCCTTGGGATATATTCAGCGTTATATATGTTATTAAATATTTCCACTGTTGGTTTTTCCTTACCACAGTTAATTATACAGAGATATATTTATATGACACAATCATTATGCAGAGATACTTTTATTATACAGAGAAACATTTATAAACAGACCCAATAATTATATAGAGACACATTAATTATACAGAGACACATTAATTATACAGGCACATTAATTATACAGAGACACATTATTTATACAAAGACACAATTATTATGCAGACACACATTTATTATAAAAAGACATTAATTATACAGGGACACATTTATATGCAGAGACACATTTATCATACAGACACATTACATATGCAGAGAGACACATGTTTACATATACACATTAATTTTACAGAGACAAATTCATTATACAGAGACACATTAATTATGCAGACACATGTACACATAGATACAATCATTATATAGAGACAAATCAGTTATACAGAGACACATTATTATACAGAGGCACATTAACTATAGAGAGACACATACCAAAACACATTTATACAGATACATAATTATAAAGAGACACATTTTTACAGAGAGACAATAATTATACACATGAACACGAAAGAAAACAGAAACAATAACCAAGAATGCTAGTATTATCACCTACTTATAGCCTTCCTTCTGTTCATTCTCTTCCTCGTCAGTCACGATAATGAATGTCTTCACTACTTCTTTGTTTTTGTAAAATGGATACAATGATGCGGCAGGCGCTGTACCTCCCTCAGCCTTTGTACTCAGTGCTAATTTTAACATCTGAAAATTAATCAAATGTCTTATCTGCTGTCTATTTAAATGTAAAGGTAGAATTATTTCATGGCTGAAGCTGCCATCTTTATTCCAGCTGGAGGTTACCAGCGTCGGACTGGAAAACTAACCCAAAGAACATTAAATAAAACCAACCACCCAGTGAAATTAGATGATTGAGAAAACAGAAGAGATTGTGTGAGAAATTAAGAGATTAGAAGAATTATAAGGAAAAAAGTGGTGCCCTTTACAGGACATTTGAAGAATCAGTCTTAGTATTTTATTTGCTCTGTTTGTGATTTCATCAGGCATTATTTATGTTCAATAGTTTGCCATTGCTTTCTGAATGGTCAGCTCTTTATATCACTGTCAAAACAAATGCAAAGCAGTCTGCTGCCAAATCGCCCTCAACTGGGATCAAACCTGGCACCTCAGAATTATGAAGCGCATTCGCAAAGCTAAACCACAGACTTAAAAACAAAATTTGTCATTAAATTAATTGAGTAACGAAGACTGAAATGGTTTGGCCATGTAGTGAGAATGAGTCCAACCATGCTGAAAATGAGACCATACAATACGAAAAGAGGCACAAACAAGATGCAGAGGGAGAGCTAGAAGAAGGACAGAATCAGCCAATGACATCCAAAGACTCTGCAACATTACAATGTACCAAACACCCGAGCATGCCTGCCCTGGCCGGGCTCCCTATCACCTAGTACAACATACATGCAGTAGTGGCACAAAGCAAATTTTGACAACAGAAAGCACTACCAAAGCAAGTCTGAAATGCTAGGTCTTCATGTAAACAATGCCATGGCATGGGGACTGAGCACTTATGGGAGTGTCCCGAGCACTGTGATGTTGATTCTTAATTCAACATTTGGCATAATGGGGGGATGGCTTTCCTTATCTGTTTTTTTTTTTTTTTTTCAATTCATTATCATCATCAAAAATGTTGCTCTTATCATGGTCCGCCTGAAAGAAACTCGGTCTCTCGTCAGCTCTCTCGCCTCACGCACTTTCCTACCAAAGGTGTCACTTGTATCCTGGGCCCATCTTTATGTTGGTTTGTCCCTGCCCCTCTTTCCCTTTGAGAACAATACTCAAAAAATTCTTACATGTCCATTTTCTAAAGCTGGTCTGACTACTTATGATGTACAGATGGGAATTAAGAATGTTGATAATATAGCTGGTTGCCTAAATATCTAGACACTCTTCGCTTCCTGCTGAAGATGTGAACGAAGCACTTATTGGAGTGTCCCGAGTGTTGTTATGTCAATTCCTAATTAAACAAAGAATAACAGCAGAAGGCATGGTACCAGGAGATAGAGGCAGTGGCTTACCAGCACAAAGATGGGCACAGGATGCAAATGAAACGTTGGTTAGGAAAGGCGAGAGACCGAGTTTCTTGCAGGCAGACTGTGATAAGAGAGAGAGATTCTGTAAAGTATCTGCTTCAGGATGATAATATTCACCCATTTTTCTATGAAACAACTCTTGGTATTGGCATATTCTTGCCAACTAAAACAAAGTGGTGGCATTCGGTCAGTGTGTTTCCTGAAAATATACAGTCTGCTAAGAAACCATCGACCCGGCTGCTTTAAGATACCAGCTAAGTGATTTTGTGTATTTGTGTGGTATTGTTTGATTTGTATGTGCTGATGAAGGCTCCTGTTTTGTTTGTATCTGTTATATTGTGAAGCTTGCTAGTATACTTTTCATTCGGTTTTATATCTTTTCCTGAACATAATGTGGCCCAAGTTTGATCCTATGCTGCTGTATGATTTTTATTTTACATGCCAGGAAAATCAAGAAGTGCTTACTAATCTCTCTCTCATCAGACAGTTATATACACATATTTCCTGATCACGTGACAAATGTGATTGTGATCTCAATAACTGTCTTATACAAGAAAGTAGCATTTATGTTATCACTGCAAAAGAATATCATTACACTCTGGGCGAACCCACAAGTACTTAGTCTCTCTCTCACATTACACAGTAATATACATAAATGGTATCATGGGACAAATATGGTTCTTACCTTATTAAATATTTTAGGCAAGACAGGAGCATCCATGTTGTCACTATCAAAGACTCTGATTACATTTGGCAAACCCACAAGTATTTAGTCTCTCTCACTCTCTTTCTCTCTCACTCTCCCTCATTACACAGTAATATTAAAAAAACGCTATCATATGACAAATGTGGTTCGTACCTCATTAAATATTTTAAGCAAGAAAAGAGCATCCATGTTGTCACTATCAAAGGCTCTGATTACACTGGGCAAACCCACAAGTATTTAGCCTCTCTCACTCTCTCTTTCTCTATCATTAGAAGGTATATAAGTAAACAGTATCATGTGACAAATATGGTTCCTACCTCATTAACTGTCTTAGGCAAGACAGGAGCATCCATGTTGTCACTATCAAAGACTCTGATTACACTGGGCAAACCCACAAGTATTTAGTCTCTCTCACTCTCTCTTTCTCTATCATTAGAAGGTATATACGTAAACAGTATCATGTGACAAATATGGTTCCTACCTCATTAACTGTCTTAGGCAAGACAGGAGCATCCATGTTGTCACTATCAAAGACTCTGATTACACTGGGCAAACCCACAAGTATTTAGTCTCTCTCACTCTCTCTTTCTCTATCATTAGAAGGTATATAAGTAAACAGTATCATGTGACAAATATGGTTCCTACCTCATTAACTGTCTTAGGCAAGAAAGGAGCATCTCTGTTTTCACTATTAAAGAAAACCAGCTGGGCGGAACAGATGGCAGTAAGAAGGCTGGCAATGATTGTACTGGTACGGATAGCAACGTCCATAGACCCTGAAGCATCCCCAATGACGACGATTGGGGACTCTAAGTTTAGCCTAACAAAAGAAATGAATTTAACTTCATTTAATGCTTAAAACAGATACATGAGCAATATGCTGAAATATTTTAGAATGCTATAACAATGAAGAGCTGGCATAAGATTGCCAGCCCAAAAGTATCTTCAACATGCCATCCAAGGTCATCCTCTCTGTGAACGGTTTCCTTTGAAATCATTAAAATTACGACGCAGTGGATGTCTTTTATCACTGGGAACTCTAATATGGGTGATCATCAGAGCCTTATTTAGGATGTATGATGTCCCTGTGCAGTCATTTATTTAACGCCCCATTTTCCCTCGATTAAACTTCAGCATCAAGATTCATTTAAAGACTACCAGTTATAAGTTGTGAAATTATTTACTTCAGTTTTAAACTATAGTGAAATATTTAAACTTAACTGAATATACAACATATGCAAACTGGAGTCCAAATGGAGCAATGATATGCAGTATACGACAAAACTTTCATAATGATAAAAGCAAAAAAGATATTGAAATTTTTATAACTACTAGTTATATTTTGCTGCTCTTAGAATTTTGTCTCCTTATGCAGCTGCACACATTTCACATAGCCTAAATACAGTCCTGGTGATGATGAAAAATGGTAAACAAGAAACTAGCTTGCAAATCTTGTCTCTGCTTGCAAACTATGGGCACCTCATCAAAACTAAATGTGTTACCATGTTTAAAAAAAAATTTTTAATTTAAAAAACTTGGAAAAAATACACAGGTTACTACCAAATTTACTATTTTTGCAATATTTACCTGATTGATTTTAAGTGCGGCTCTGCAACATCAATTAATCTCGTCAGAAAGTTGTCAGAAATTTCACAACCATCTTGGAGAAAAGTTGTTTCTCCTGGTTTGAAGGAAATGTTGCGACGCAGTGAGATGGTCAAAAGTCGTTCCAGTAACTTGCCGTTTGGGAGGTTAACTCGTTCTCCAGCGGCAAGTCTTTCTGCAATAGCTTCCTCCGCAGCATCACAAGCTAGGTCTTCATACCACCTGAGGAACAGTCATGGCAACAGTTGTAACAGTCATGGCAACAGTTGTAACAGTCATGGCAACAGTTGTAACAGTCATGGCAACAGTTGTAACAGTCATGGCAACAGTTGTAACAGACATCTCCTTTTTTTTTTTTTAAATTATACTGTCTCCACAGTTTAGGTTGGGTACAGTGGCATAATCATTTTCATCAGCATCATTTTCCAATTCTGCTGTTAAGCGGTGTGGAGAGGAACAGTTTGTGATCCATTGCTTGATTGGCAGCAATGGGTTATTTTCATTCCATATTGATGTAGAAGCTCTTTAATGTCATAAATCCATATTCTCCTAGGGCGCCCTCTTGTTTTCACTTCAGATCTTTTCATGTGTAGCGTCTGCATCGGTAGTTGTTCTGGCTGCATTCTTACTAGATGCCCAAACCATTTGATCTTCTGTTTCTCAGTTCATCCAGTCCGTCTGATAATATCATTTCTCACTTTGTCTCGGATAGTTAAGTTGGTAGCTTTTCTTATGCATCTCATTTCACTAGATTATAATGGTAAAAACGACACTTCTTTTATTTTTTCTATTTCAACTTTGTACGTCAGTTACTTCTGGTTATTTAATACTACAAAATTTATGTACTGTAAACAGATAGTAAATTTCAGTCTCCATGCCTTTTTAGAATGAATTTATTTGTGTATGTGTGGGACATACTGTGGGATCCAGTGTATGGAAGTTTAGATATATTACCAGCCTTTATAAATGTGTTTCCTATTCAATGCTTGATTTACGGACTCATCATCATCATCAGGTGCCTTGATGACTGGCGTAGGCGATCATGTCTCTCTGTAATCTGCGATCTCCTGTAGCATGTATCAGTTTATGTGCCGACACACCTCCATGCCATGCAACAAGACTGTCAGGAATCTTCTCTTCTCTCGTTGTCTTCCTCTTTCCCTCCTTCTACAGATCTTTCCAGTGGTCACAACATGTTCTGTTTTCCCTCTAACATGGCTGAAAAATGATGACTATCTCCTTCTGATGTCTGAGATAAATTGTCTTTGGGCTCCTGCCTCTTTCAAAACCTCTTGGTTGCATTTATGGACTACTAGAGCATAATAATAACCTACAATGCATATAACAAAAGGGAAAGGCAACTGAGGAAGGTTGACATGATACAGACTAATTCAATTCATAAACAAACAAACAAAATTCAATCATGACTGAGCTTTTTAAAAAAAAAGGGGGGGAAGGGGGGAAGAGCCTTGAAGGCAACTAGTTGAGGACCTTTACTAGGGCTTTTTTCTGGCATGTCACGACAGTGTGCATGTTAGTCTTTTCTCATGAGCTTAGGTCGGCGCATAGGGCATAGCTCTTCATGTCTGGCGGTTCGTTGCCATCTGCTTTACAGTATGCAATACCAGAACTATTTCTGGACACTGTCACCAGTACCGGCATCATTTTTTTTTTTAAAAAAAAAAAAAAAATTGCCATGACCTCTATTCTACAATCATGTGAAAAGCAAAATAGAAAAGTAAATTTTCAGCAGTAGAAAACACCACATGCTTACTGAGCTAAAACCAAAGTATTTCTACAAACAAAAATATATATATATATATATATATATATATATATATATATATACATATATATATATATATATATATATATATATATATATATATATATATTATATATATATATATATATTTATATACACACACACACACACACACATATATATATACACATTTATGTAGTTATAAAAAATTACTTTGTGCAATTAACTATAACACCAGCTCATCTGCAAGACAAATATAGTACATAAAACAGTTCAAACCTCACATGTTATAGTTCACTGTTAGATCAGCATCTCTATAGCTAAACATTATATATAAGTTACATGTGAAATCTTCCATGCAACAATTATTTGTTATTGTTCCAGTCCCTTTTCAGCCTAATCATTTTAGATGTAAACATTCACACACACACTCTCCCTCTCAGACACACACATGCACTCAGACAGATGGGCACTCATGCGCACGTACACGCGCCCACACAGTGCTTTTTTTAAAGTTGTGAGTACCTGCACCTTTTTTTCTAGAAAAACAAAAGTACTGACTCTCTCTCTCTCTCTCTCTCTCTCTCTCTCTCTCTCTCTCTCTCTGTGTTTGTTTACATGTGTGTGTGTCTGCACACACTATTTGAAGTTGTACACACATATAAAACTAATGAAGGTAAAATTTGAGTGAGTTTTTTTCAGGTAGACAGTGACGAGAGTGATGTTCTGCAAAGGACTTGCTATATGATGATGCACTAGGTGACTTTAGCTTAATGAGACACTGTTAACAAACATTTGATGGTGAATGAAGTCTGAACTAAACATTACCATAAGACAGTGTCTAGTTTTGGCTCGTAGCGGGCAATCCTTCCTTTTGACTCTACATTTAGTTGACTTTTAAACTGTTTGAGTACACTGTATGGGATGTCATATTCTTTCACTAAATCATTCACATTTTCTTCGGTAATATTTTGGCAGTGCTCAACAAGAGAACCAATAGGAGGTGGTCCACTGCCAAAACAATAAGGCAAAAACCAAGGTGCTGCAGGAAAATCCTGTGAATAGACAATATCATTCTGTTATTGCATATTAAATAATTTTCTGTGTAGGTTCTGGGACCAAATTTTTTGGCAGAAACAATAGTTTTTTTTAAAAATAAACCAGTGCTTAACATGCAAGTTATAACAGTCGACTAATTTGGAGCATTCCATTTCCTTTGATGTCGAAGGGCATCTGCCTGATAAGCAAGGAATCGTCAATTTGAATACAAATTAGTCAGACCTGTAAAATGAATGATGAGAGCAAACAAAACTTAAATTCTGGAACAAGACCAAAGCCCAGAACTGGACGAACAACCACAACTTTCCACTGGCGTTTACAGCCGGTGGACGCTAAGAAGATATTACATCAGTTATTCTTCTGCCTCCCCCCCCCCCCCCCCCCCCCAGGGTCTTCTACTAACACGCTAAAATGTTTTATCCTTTGCATTTATGGGATCTCACCCCATCATTTCCACGTCATTCTCAGATTCTGTTCTCTGTGTTTTTAGTAATGTAAAGTAAAGATCTATTTTAGCGCCTCTAAGGGCATCAGGTATATGGGAAGAGCACCCATATTGTTACCGACTAATCGGCACTAGGTGAGTAATATGGTCAGCATTACACCGGCCTTTTGTACTTCCCCAGGACAGCCATCCGGGTACCCATTTTAGACTGGGTCGACCTGCGATGCCCATACCATGATAAAAATCGAACGTGGCCAGCAGTGAGTTTCGACTGCAGTGCGTTGGAATTATAAGTCAGACTAGCAAAGCCTAAGCCAAAGACGATGCTCTATGCTTTTGCTGCACCCTTATTTCTTTAGCTCAGTGCCAGTTCTGAAGAACTTCCTACGTGAAAGGGGGTGAATCAAGAATTCAACCTCCTTAAACTCCTTCATTAACACTGTATCATTCTTTTAAGAGTACAGCTTTCCCCCAGCTTGGGTGAACTTCTGCTGGCCAGACAGAGATGTGTTTTATATTGGAGATTTGTCATTTGAGTGATTTTGTGTATTCTTATTTGTATTTGTGGTATTGTAGATTTATATAATGTGCTGAAAAAGGCTTTTGGCTGCAATGTTCACTTGTTTTGTGCTTGTGATATTATGAAACAAGCTTTAATACAGTGCATCCAAATGTCGGACACATTTTTGTTGTTGCTTTAAAGCCTTACTCTGGCTGTTGCCAGGGGGCTTAATATAGCCCAACCCACGGGCTGAATGGGGTTTCTGAGACCTGTCCCCAGGGGATCCTCATCTGAATGGTGGCACTTCGTGTCACTGGGTGTTTAACGCTTAGTGTGATTTCCTGGTGGAGTTGAATGTCTTAATCATCGTGTTATGAAGTTGGCTGGTCGTATATTTTTTGATATCTCCCCATTTTGAGTGGCTGATTTTTACCTGTTTCATTTTTCAGACCTGTTCATAATTTGTTGTCCTCTGTGGCTACAGTGTTTTAGATGGAATGAGCCAATACCAAGCCCTACATTTAGTCACCACTAATGACTTGCAGTGCAAATGCAATGATAACATTCTAAATGGTATTTAAAGTGAAGGGAGCATGAAATGCTTCAATATACAACAGTCAGCCATGTATATTGAAGGAAGCAAACAGGACTAACACTGTAAACTACCATGCATACTGTAAAATGCAGTAAAAAGGGGTTGGCTTAAGACATGATTAAGGAGAGGAAAAAGATGAAGAGGAGGAGAGATATATGTGAAGAGGAGGAAAAGGAGGAGAAGTCATTTTCTGAATCTCAAGTTATACTTTGGAAGTTCCATTGTAGGTTGCTATGGTGTAAGTTAGGTTGTAACTATAGTATGGTTAGTTTATAAGTTATATAGACCTTTGTTTTTGAAACTTTAACCCAGGTATGCAGTGGCCCAAGGTAATGAGCGAGCATATTGTCTGCATTGTGTGCTAGAGATCCCGGGTTCAAATTTGGAGTAAAAAATCTACCCAAAGTATTTTAGGATCCTCGCTGGTGTAACATAGTTCATGCACTGCGCTGAGACCTTCAGATTCGGGTTTGAGTTAGAAGAAGCATGGAGCCCTTATGAGTTACACCCGTGTGCTAAGATGCTGATCCGTTGAATAAACAGTTGAGTTGAGTTGAGTTGAGTTTCCATGCATGCTCCATCCTCATCTTCAGCAGCCAGGGCAGAGTTCAAATACTGATGGTACCGGTCACAATCTGGTTAAATGTCCGTCTTGCCTTTCCTCTGAGTGTAGTAAGTTGAATAAACAATGAACGTGCAGATGTTAATTTCTAGCCTCAGGACCCACAATAGTAGAGTTAACAAGAATAAACATCACATTATTATCTAGCACAGTGGTTCTCAACCTTCCTAATGCTATGACCCTTCAACATAGTTCCTCATGTTGTGGTGACCCCCAGCCATACAATTGTTTTTATTGCTACTTCATAACTTCAGTAAATATCTGTTTTCTGATGGTCTTAGACGACCCCTACAAAAGGGTCACGATCCACAGGTTGAGAAGTGCTGACCTAGCAAATCTTTTGTAGAGCGTCACTACATTGCTGCATGTTCAAAGGATGCATTTTTAAAAACATTTTTAACCCTAATTTAAAGACAGGCAAAGGATATATAACATGCATCACAAACAACAGAATGTTATATAAGTTAATGAAATAGCTAGAAAAAAAAAAGATTTGTATCTCCAGTGGCAACAGCAAACATGACCACAAGTGGGAATTAGATTGTCATATATTATGATTAATCAGCTAAGTTCAAAAGTTCTATGCTCTGACAACTGCTGAGAGAGACAGAGTAAACATGTGTGTTTCCTTAGTGTGATAGCATTGATTCTAGTTTAATCATCCAGTAGTTATTTTTACCACTAGGAAATTCACTGTCATAAGATAACAAGGCATGGTAATACCAAAAACAAATTGTAAATATTTATATATTGTATATATGTTATTAAGGTCAGAATTTACAGCCATAAAACTAAGCACTAAAATATATTGTAAAAAAGATCAAGAATAACCTTCTGTGGATTCAAATGGCAAATGTCAGCCAGTTTTTGCCAGGGATCTTTAGGAAAATGAATGGCGAAAAATTCCAGTTCTTCTGCACTAAAGTCACGCACCCACCTGGCCACATGCTTGCACACGGCACCACTGGCTGAACCAATCTGAAAATAAATTGAAAATGTATAACAAGCGAAGACATGACTAGTAAACTAGCCCCCCCCCCCCCCCCCCAATTCACCTCATGTGAGGTGGTGGTGGGGGGGGGAGAATATAAAAACTCCCCCCTTCACAAGCATTTCATACAAAAAAATGATATTTAGGGCTGGTTTTTTTCAAAGTCAGAGTGCATCTGCCTGGGAGATGAGGAACCAACAGTCTACATGCAAATAAGCCAGATCTGTAAAACAGATGAGCATGCAAAACTTGAGTTTTGGGACAAGACTAAAAATCTAGAAGTGGACAAACAACCAGAACTTTCCTCCACAGTTTACTGCCTGTGAATGCTATCAGAAAGAAGAATTATATTTAATATATTCCTCCATGCCACCATCTTTGATCATCCGGTATCAAATGTGTTCTACCTGCCTCTATTTCATCTACTGGTTTTTGTCAGTCCACACAGTGCTCTCCAATGCCTCTCCTCACTATAAAAACGTAAAGATCCCTTTTCATGCCTTCAGCAAATTGGGTATATAAGACTAGACCTCTATTTTTTAGACCAGACGGCACTTGGTGGGTGATGTGGTCAGCATCACGCCAGCCCCCTTTACTTCCCAGGACTGTACCTGCTACCCACTAAAGACTGGGTCGACCTGGCAGTCATGATCATTTTTGAATAAAAGCCTGCTAAATCAGGACCTAAACTCACTACCTTCTGATCAGCAGGCTAGTATCTAGCCGCTAGACCACGATGGCTCCCTCTCTCCTCATTATAAGACTAAATAACACTGCAATCTTCTGTAAAACATCTCTGGGGCATTGAACCGATGATCACTGACCCAGCAGGTAAGTGTTGCAGTCACTGTCCTACTTTGGCTCTCTTTGGCATAGAATAAGTTCAGTAACAATCACTAAAGTAGGTCAGTTATTGTGTGTATGAGTACTTTCCAAGAGAAACCTTGAGGTGAAAGTTGTTCAGAGAGGTCAAACTTGATGGACATCAAAAGGATTGCACAGAATAGAATGGAACAGAAGACTAGATTGTGATCCCTATGTGACATATAACAGCATAATAGAGTAATCATGTGTGTATGTGTCAGTTCGTGTAAATATCCAAACTTACTGGCGGTTTCAGCTTGTTTAGATTGTTGATGTCCAATTTCAACTTTCCAATTTTATTCGGCTTGACTTTGGACCCTGATAACTGCAGACGTGCAAGACGTTTTTCTAAGACTCTAATTTTCCTGCCAGAATCAAGCATAGTCAGTGCTTTCAGAACTTCAACTAAGCCAAACTGTGAAGGTAAGTGTAGAAAAGCTGAAGCCAGTTCATGATCTCCTCTTGCCCAGGCCATAGATAGAGCACGAATACATGCATCTGTAGAAATAAAATATGTGTTACTGGTTTAAGAATTTTTTTTGTGCTTGCCCCCCCCCCCCCCCCCCACCCCCATTTTGGACGGAAAAATTACTAGCAGCCATTGCCCCCAATATACAAGTTGCAAAAGGTAACTTATCAGGAACATTCTGAAATCTAATGTGTTGTGTCAAGAGGTGCAGATATCACAGCCTGGCTGTAAACCATAACATAAATGTCAACTGCCCTTTAACGAGTTAACACACATGAGGAAGAAGATTTCAGATTTGACATTATAGCACTTTGGGCATACCCAGAGATGCTCTGTCTCCCTCAGCAGATAGGTATAGGCTAGTAAAGACAAAATATATAAATTACAGGAAGTTATTAAATGTACACCCACCCACACTGCACTGCAGGTTACTTCATAACCTTGAGTGGAGCTGTTCATGTTTCCCGGTCCATCTACACACTTTCTCAGTCTGATCTAGATCAGAGGGGTGTCACATTGTACTGCTTTCTTTGAAAAGAGTTTCTCGTGGGACCTAGGCTCAGACTGTAGGTATGGGTGTTTGGTTTAGGGTCAGTTCTACATGTTGTGGGGTCGTTGAAAGCCGTGTCATCGTTTAGTATAGAACACGCAACATCTGCGCTGATGTAATTGGAGGGAAGAGAATGTTACACCCCTCCGATATAGAATACTCTGAATGAAAGGTCAGACAGTGTGTAGATGTGCTGGGAAACATGAACAGGACCTCTTAAGTGCTCCAATATAAAAGTTTTGTACAGATGAATGGGATCTCTTGGATCTGCTCCTGTTGATCTCTCATCCGCAAGATGTTAATCCTACAGACTGCAGTCCTGAAGGCAGTTTTTTTTTTTTAAATCTATACTTGCTAAAGTATATGTGTAGGGAGCCATCATTATTGAGAAGTGACAGGTTCAATTTCTGGTGTGATTAAAGTATACCTTTCAAACTGTATTTTGCCTACTGTGTCCTTCTGTCTCTATTTCTCTCTTCTGCATTTATGAGTGTCAATATGTATATTACAGCTTGTTTATTATGCTACTTCAATAACCTCAAGGGTTCCATGGATGATTTATGTGTGCATTATGCAACTTCAATCTTGTTAATAAAAAAAATTAAACAACAGTAGTGGTGAACAACCCTTTTTACTGATTCTAACACACAGTGCCATAGACTATTTAATACTGAATATTACTTCATTACATGTTTATGTTTATTCAAGGGATCAACATTACGGCACAGGGGTGTAACCCATAAGATCTCCCTTCTACTTCTAACTCAAGTGTGAGTCTGAAGAATCTCAGCGCAGTGCATGAGCTCCGTTGTCCTGCGAGGATCCTGAAATACTTTGGGTAGACTTTCAACTCCAAGCTTTGCCCGGGCAGTGCCGTCAGTCTACTTTTTTTTCAATTTCCAGCTGCCACGAAATTTTTTATGTTTGCAACAATACACACAGACATCCGGTCTTACTATCTAGGCACCTGAGAAAATTACTAGACATCCATGTAAAAAAATCCCAACTTTCACTGGGGTTTGAACCTGAGACCTCCAGAACATTAGGCAGATTCCATAACTTGGGACCACTCAGCCCCCTTCATTACATACATGTTCATACTCTGTGTGACTTCAGTCTTGTTTTTAAGTACTACTAATTGTGAATTTTTTCACTTCTAAATAATGGCCATTTCCACAAGGGAAGTTGGCTACAGTGTGCTCACATTTGTCTTCAGGAATATTATGTTGTGAGGCATCAATACCTTCCACAGTATGACATTTGTAGCATTGTTCAGAAACCAGGAGAGCAGTTTTTATTTTAAAATATATTCCACTGTAGAAATCTCTAGTACTGGGATATAATGAAATTGTTAAACTCACTCACTAACCTTAAAGTCACAAATGGTGAATACTAATAATGTCTAATATATATACTTATGGGGCTTCAACCTTATTTTTTTTTTTAAAACAAGTAATCCTAAGAGTGAACAGCATTAACACTGATGTCTGAGTAGTGGTGTATTTTAATGAGAATATTTATGTCTGAGTTGTGGTGTATTTTAATGAGAATATTTATGTCTGAGTTGTGGTGTATTATAATGAGAATATTTATGTCTGAGTAGTGGTGCATTAAAATGAGAATACTTATGTCTGAGTAGTGATGTATTTTAATGAGAATATTTATGTCTGAGTAGTGGTGTATTATAATGAGAATATTTATGTCTGAGTAGTGGTGTATTATAATGAGGAGATTTATGTCTGAGTAGTGGTGTATTATAATGAGAATATTTATGTCTGAGTAGTGGTGTATTATAATGAGAATTTTTCTTTGTTCACCTTAAAAGGGTATATGGCATGTTATGCTGTGGTTTACAGCTAGGCTGCAATATCTGTCTTTTGCCCTAACATGTCCAGTTTCCTCAAACTCCTAATTAGTAGCTTTCAATGACATGTTAGGGGAAAGTGTGCTATTACCCTCCCTACTCCCCCCCCCCCCCCTTCCAAACACATCGGGCAGATGTACCTGGACCCTACATAGGAAAAATAAAAGAGACGGTGATTATTAATGTTTTAAAATAGACTGCATTTTAGTCCAATTATGTATTTGTGTGTGACTTCAATAATTCACTACTGCAGTGACTTCAAACTTGTTCATATATCAAGCAATTCTAATTACTGATGTCTAACTTATACAAAATATTTATAACTTCAAACTTGTTTATAAAACAAGCAAAACAAATTACTGATGTCTGACTAATACAAAATATGTGTGTCTTCAAACCTTTACTTCTAATACATATATTGATTGACTTCAATCTTGTTCCAATACATAGTAATATGTGTGTGATTTCAAGTTGTATAACTTATATATATGCCTAATTATAGACAATACATGCTTTGTGTAACTTATATAATTATATATAATTTGTACTTAGTGTAACTTATAATTATATATAATACGTACTTTGTGTAACTTATAATTATATATAATACATACTTATATAATTATATGTAATATATAATACATACTTTGTGTAACTTATATAATTATATATAATATTTAATACATACTTTGTGTAACTTATAATTATATATTTATATATAATACATATTTTGTGTAACTTAAAATTATATATAATATATACATATACTTTGTGTAACATATAATTGTATATAATACTTACTTTATGTAACGTATATAATTCTATATAATATATAATACATACTTTGTGTAACTTCAATCCTGTTCTTTACTAGCACCGCCAAAGTTGCTGCATAGCGTATCCTATTTTCATTTTGAGCCTGAAGGTGTTGCTCTGTTGAGGATGTCCCAGTGAAATATGCCTTAGGGTTATCTACAATACTGAGTTCCTTTACTGAATCTGTTGCGTCTGCAGTGCCCGTCTTATCCCGATTTCCTCTATTAGTTCTTCCAGTGGACCAACCTCCCTTTCCTCTGTTTCGGCTTCCTCTACCTCTACCACGTCGTGTACTAGTCCCTCGGCCACCCCTTCCTCTAGCCCTTCCTCTACCTTGGCCTCGCCTGGGCATAGTTGGTAATGTAAATAGAAAAATATATTTACAAATAATTCAATACATAGGCGAGGTGTCTTTGTAGTAGTAGTAGTATAGTTAGTACTGGTAGGGCGTACCAAGTACTGACTTTTGTCTCTATCTTATCTGTTGCATACACGAAGAAACTCGTCCTTGCTTTATATATGAGTGCAGCTATCTCATGTATTTTTGGTTGCTTAGTAAACAGCTTACTAATGGCAAATAATAACCGCAACAAGTACCAGATTAACCTATTAATTGTTGTCGCAATCATACTGAAATCGCGTGTACTGTTTAGTCTTTTGAAAGGTGGGGGGGGGGGGAGAGAGGGCTTAATACTATTAGATTTTACCCCCAAGATCTGGGTTTTTAAATGACGCTTTGGGGGAATCTGGTTTTGTAAAATATATCCTCATATAAAAGTGGTAAATGTTTATTAATTAACAGGGAGAGTTCGACTGTCCGATAGTTTTTCTTAAAGCCGACAAGGCCTACCAATGCTGGATTTTACCCCCACCCCCAAGATCTGGGTTTTTATGTCATAAATCCACTGCCGACTCTATTTATTAGAGAAGGCGTTGATATATCCTTATATAAAAGTTGTAAATGTTTTGTTTTATAACTATAAATTTTGTAAATTTTAACAATCTGGGGTTCTTTGTCTATTTATTGCTTGAGTTTTTGTTCAGCTAAGCTGGGTTTTAAAAAAAAAAAAGTGAGTGACCTCCCTAAGAAGTTAAAATTCTAAGAATATTTTTTTCTGAATGAAAGGTCGCAAAAGAAGAAGAATTATCAGTATTATTTAATTTAAATACGTTTGAAGACTAAGTTCTGTTATCATATCATTTCCGCTATATATGGCCTAACCATTGCAGATATTACATGTTAAATCGAGAAGCGTGGGGGAGTGGCGTATTGTTTCAGTGGCCTGTTTCAGTTTCCTCGCTTTGCAGCAGAAGGATTTCGTCGCTGCTTGGCAGTCATGACGTTGATGTTGAAGCCGCGTTAGCACAGTCGATAAGAGGCTCGCTTTCAAATGCAGATGCGACTCGCTGCAGCCACGGTCGGTGTTCAAAACCGGGCGGTTCCCGGGGTTCACCCAGCCTTTAGGAAATGGGTCCCAGAATTGACACTCTGGGGTGAATGGAGGAACGTCGCTGTAGCTACGGAGTTATGTGAGGACGGTGACACAGGCGGACAGTTTCCTATCAGTTGTCCGTACTGGTGGCAGAGCAGTTATGGTTTATAACCGTGTGCAATGACGCTGGTTCACATCTCCCGACTTTACCTTTACTTGTTCTCCTTATCCCAATTAAGCAAATTATTACCAGTATGGGTTGAAAAGAATATTATTGTTTAAATTACTACTACTAGTTCATATCTATTCATCGTTTGTATAAACAAAACTTAAATATGTATGAGTAGGACAATAAAATAGTCATAAAAGAAAAGAGATTTATTAAATGACAAGTAATTCTAATAGTGGGAAAGAGAAAACATGGAGACGAACGATGGAAAGTGACCTGAGTGCGGCATCTTTGACATGGAAAACTGCACTGAAGATTGCACAGGACAGGAAAGCATGGAAAGTCCTCTCTGAAGCCTCATGTGCCACTAGGCATAATGAGAACTGATGATGATGATGAATACTAATAGTAGAAGCAGAAGCAGAATTAGTAGTAGTATTAGTAGTAGTAGTAGTAAAAAAATAAGAAAAAGAAGAAAAAGTAGTAGTAGTAATAATAGTAGTAGTAGTAGTAGTAGTAGTAGTAGTAGTAGTAGTAGTAGTAGTAGAAGCAGTAATAGTTGTAGGAGAAAAGGCAGTAGTAACAGTAGTAGTAGTAGTAGCAGCAGCAACAGTAGTAGTTGTTATTGTTGTGGTGGTGAGGGTGGTGGTGCTAGTAGTAGTGGTAAGAGTAGTAGTTTTAGCAGCAGCAGATGCGCCGACCAAAGAAAACATAGGGTCATCAAATAAACATGGTTCTGAGCGCCCCGCCCCCCCCCCCACACATACACACACAAGGTTCAAAGGGCTTGCTTGAGCCTTGTTCAGTGCACTCCGATTTTGAAGGAAACATATTTCGGGTGATCTGGATTTCATTTCGCGTTGGGGGGTCCTAATGGAGCAATGATACAAAATACAAGAGTCTTAATGTCTCTCTTGCTTAAGCCTATCTTGCCTTCGTGTGGTGGACCCTGTCTTTCCCAGTAATCCAGTGGAAGGTAAGGGTTTTAACACCAGTGGAGAACTGGATGAGACAACAGGCGAGGTATGAAGATGAAAATTTAAACTATTGTTACAATTTCCTACTGTTATTTAAAGCCTTAGGGGGCTGCGTAGTCTCAAAGCATGGTGTCCGCCTTGAGTGCTAGAGGTTCCGGGTTCTATCCCCAGTAAGAGCTGGGATTTTTTCACGTGAACTAGTAATTCCCTCTGGTCTCTAGGTAGTGAGATCGGGCGCCCGCATGTATTGTTGCGCACGTAAAAAATCCCTTGGAAGCTGGAAATCGAAAAGAGTAGCCTAACAGTGCTGTCCGGGCAAACTTTTGGAGTTAAAAATCTACCCAATGAATTTCAGGATCCTTGCCGGTGCTACAGGGCCTGTGCACTGTGCTGAGCTTCTTCGGACTCAGGCTTGAGTTAAAAGAAAAAAAGAGCACTTTTAGGTTACTACCCATGATGTTGATCCGTTGTTCACATCTCAAATCTCTCTCTCTCTCAAACTAAAGACTATTCTACAGCGAACTGAAATTATAAATATGATTTAGTCATTTCATAAGAAAGCATCGCAAATACCATATCCACTGTTTGACTTATTATAATACGACAGCCTAGTCTAAAGCCTACACACTACTAACTATCCGTACAGAATATCATTAGAAATATTTATTGTCAGCGTATATTTGGAAGGCGGAGAGGGCTGGTTGTGAAAGAACTGGCGGTGTATCTTATACCGCAATCCGTTTACGCCTGCAGATTTGTATGACTACTGCTTTCATCTGCTATGAACAGCGATTTTAGTGACAGACTGTAGGTATTGGCACCTCTGGCGCCTGACTTATGCGTGATGTTTGGTCTTGCCTGGACTGGCGTCTGCTTGATTGTTGACATGAAGGCAATGACGGGCATTTTGCGAGGTTTTTACTGGCCTATGAATGCAACAATTATGAGGTGTCCCATTTGCGATGAAGCCTGCTTTAAAGTTGCCACTAGTTGTGGTAACTGTAATATACTACCCAATGTATTCATTCACCAGTAAATCATTCGTAACATTTACTCGTATATTTTTTATACGTAACTTTATTCCAAAACTGAACTGATAATGTCTTCATATAAATTTGATGAATATATCATATATCCTACATCGCCTGATACCTACCATGTATATGGTAAATGGAGCCACTGAGGACAGTGTATTAGCAGATTGTTACATTTGACTTGCTTGACAGTGTAAATATTTATGTTTTTGACTACAGAAAAGCTATAGTAAATAGTCAATACTGCTCTCACGGCTTTTGATATAGTAGTGTAATCGACCGTTTGTTTCGTAAGCAGTGGTATATTACTGCACGTAAAATATCAAAACAGAACAGCTATAACATATACCGAGGGCTGGTTTTTCAACGCCCTGTAAAGGATACGCAACTAACATTTAATATGTTAGAATAATACGTTGTTTCCATCGCAAAATTCAAGTCAATCTTTCGATGGTTATATTGTGCGTGTTTAAAGACGAAGCTGCGTCATGCATGTATCTTTTCACTTATTACGTTTATTAAAATTCCCCTAAAGCAGCGGTCCTCAACCTACCGATCGCGACCCTTTTTTTGGTCGAACGGGTTGTCACAGAGGCATTAACTGGCAGTGATGAAACAGAATAGAAAGAACGGGTTGTCACAGAGGCATTAACTGGCAGTGATGAAACAGGGGTCGCCTAAGACCATCGGAAAACATATATTCATTGACGTTATATAAAAAAAATGATTGTTTGGGGGGAGCCACAACATGAGGATACTGTACTAAATGGCCGCGGAACTAGGAATGTGAAGAGCCGCTGTCCTAAAGGATATGAACTACACAGCCAGGATGTTTGTTAGAAGTGTTCGTTGCGACAACCCCTTAGCCTACCTCTTAAAAAATGTTAACCAGTCAGAAGCAGTATCCAGTCTTCATCTGCGGCTGTCCTGTTGTCTGTAGCGGAGAATAAGTCCTACTTTAAAATACATACCAGCCTATTCTATCGTTTGTCATATCCTTTGACAAAATAATTTTAAAAAAGGAGGGAAGGATGTGTTTCCTTCTTTTTTTTCCCTTCTGGGCACTTCTAAAGAACAGATAGGGAATCCATACTGAAAGAGTAATTCAACTAGGGTGTGTAGAGGTTCTGGAAGATATTCAGCATTGAAGCAGAAGAAGTAGTAGTAATTTTCTGGTTGGATCTAACTTTTTTTGGACTTCCTTATTTGCAATTTCATTATATACAGAACGTGATATTAACATGTCAACTCTTCGCTGGTTACTGAAAAAGGAGACCTAGCACGAGTGAGAACGTCCCGATTGCAGTGTTGTCACTTCTCGGATTCATTAAATTCATTCATTCATTCATTCATTCATTCATTCATTCATTCATTCATTCATTCATTCATTCATTCATTAATTCATTCATTAATTCATTCATTCATTCATTCATTCATTCATTCATTCATTCATTCATTCATTCATTCATTGTCATATCACGCATCTCACTGCACATCATCCGCGTATAATTCATATGTTCATAATTCCTCTCTGTGTATGTTTTTAGGTCTCCGTTCTTCTCCTGCTGTTCTCCGAAGCACGCTCTGCTAGTCAGCTATATTTATAACATGTATGTCCGTACTTCTTTCCAGCCATCTGAAAGTTGCTGTTACTATTTCAGCCTCCATTCTCATTACTGATGTTGTGACGTTATACTCGAGGTTTAAAAAAATCGTCCCTTTTCTTTGCAATGAAACTCCATTCATTCTTTCTGCTGCTCGAGACAGTTCCGCCTATGGCCTATATATATGTGAATAATACACCTAGGCGTAAATTTTCTTTAATTAGTTATTGCATCGATACTTATATTTTCCAAGATATCCACCTATGATACCATTTAAACAATTCCTTATAAGTCACTAACTTGTCAACCGCACACACCGTAGTGTGCTTGAGATATCCACATTCATTTAAAAGGTCATTTTAATTAAGGTCTTTATGATACATATTAGCCAGATGTTGACGCTTTTTCGTTAATGTGTCAGAAGCAATAGGTTTTCGACATGTAACTAAACATCTGCACGTATTGTCAGTGTAAAGATTAGTGACCAGAGTAGGGAGGAACGTTTCCACTTTCCACTTTTCTGTTTTACTTAGAAATAACTCTTCCAGCAATTCTGCTGATCTATCATATCTACTAAGAAACAGGCTTCGCTGTAGTTCTTGTTTTCTCCCATCACTTTTATCGGTATCTGGACACATACTCCTGGCTTTGACAGCATATTGACTAAAGTTTCCTGAAGATAAGTTTTCAAAGACTCAGGAGTCTGGTATCAGGTAAACGCAGTTTCAGCTTTATAGCAGACGTATCACCCTATAGTTGCTCCGTTCCTGCGCCAACGAAATCGTACAAAGTGTCCACCACTGTCATTTATCCACAGCTCACAGTGTCTTACCATGCATTCAACGCAGTAGCTAAGCGACGAAACTAGGTTAAAGAAGATTCGTGACGACAAGGATGTTCACATCTTATATTGGAGGACACTGAGTGTTTTATTCATTCTTTCTAGCAAGCCACTACTACTACTACTACTACTACTACTACTACTACTACTACTACTACTACTACTACTACTACTACTACTACTACTACTACTACTACTACTGCTACTACTGCTACTACTGCTGCTACTACTGCTGCTGCTGCTGCTACTATTACTACTACTCAACTACTGCTGCTCTTCAGGATACGTGGACACAAAATAAAAACAAATGCGTTAAAAAGCTAGAGAATCAATCCTGTTTTATCCCATTCTGATTCGGTCTCACTCCGATAGTGTCGTGCGAATCACAAAAACTCTGTAGCTCCAGCGACCACCCCGAAGATCTGAAACTCCTTTATTCAGAAGCACGAGGCTGGAGTTCGAAATTTTTAGCCTTCAGAACGCGAGGCAAACTTCTTCTTCTTCGGCATTCCGAGCCCTTGAGGTTCATTGTTGCAGATATCACTCACCTCCATTCATCTCTCTTGTTAGCCTTCTCTTTCCAGTTAGTAACACCAAGTGTTTGCAGGTCTGTCTGGATATTATCTCTCCATCGTCTTCTTGGTCTGTCTCGTGGTCTACGACCATTCATCTCCCTTGTGTTTTTACTTCTCTGTCATCTGACATTCTTTCAATATGTGCCAACCATTTAAGTCTATTAGCTCTCATGATGCCAGTGATCAGTAGTGATTTAAACAGATCATGAATTTCGTTGTTGCTTCTTACTCTCCATTCACCGCTGTTTGCATCTTTGATGGGTCCAAAGATTCGTCGTAAGACTGTTTTCGAAAACCTGTAATAAGGCTTTATCTCTTTTAGTTGTGCTACAAGTTTCAGAGCCATATAACACGACTGGTCTAATATTCGTTTTATATATTTTGATCTTGGTGTTGCGAGACAGACCCTTTGACTTTAGCAGATATTGAAGGGCATAGTATACTTTATTTCCAGACTGTATTCTAGATTGTAATTCTTCTCTCAGCATGTTGAAATTTGCACCCAAGTACTTATATGTTTCCGTTCGTTTGAATTTTATATTATAGACTTGTATGTGGCCGGAGTTTATATCCTTTACCTGTCTAGTTATTATCATGTATTTTGTCTTATCTTGATTGATAACTAGTCCCATTTTCTGAGCTGATTCTTTTAAGACAGTCAGTGTTTAAACAGTCTCTAGTTCATTTTCTCCAAAATTTGCGAGGCAAACTGCTTACCCAAAAGATGTGAGCAAGTCACAACGATGCCAGTTTTGAATTTCCTGCATCAGTCACAGATGACCAGTTCACAAAGAAACCCAAATAAATTGTAACCATTAAAAAGAAAAAGAAAATTATAACATAAGTTTGGAATATAATATAAATATGAGCAAATAACTAACTGACTAAATAAAATATGTTAATTTACGATTTCAAAAATCAACCCAATATGACTTGCAAAACTATATTTTATAAATAGAAAAATGACATAATGCCGTTTGCAGCCGCGTCCTGGGGCGTGTACAAAACTAGCCACTAGGAAGTCGAATCTCATTTAGTTCACAACAAGTTACTTGCGCAAGGTCGGAGATATCAAGTTGAGATAGCTGAAACTTTTATTTAGATTCAAGTAGAAATGGCACCCCCCATGGTATCTTTAAGCAAGAAGGAGCCTTCTAAATCTAAGCTAGTGTTTGACGATGTACGTGAAAGTGTTTTGGTTAAGGAAATTATATGCATTTTGTCTGACAGTTTTTCCAGGTGTTAAACTAGTTGATGAGGGGTTCGATTTCTGTACCTGGAGTCAAGTGTAGTTTAGTAGTGGGTAGGCTCTTGCTCTAGTCTTAAGTCTAGATAGTGATTATGTGTTTACTATTTGCGATCTTATCTTATCTTCTGCATTGATTAAATCAATTCATATTCATAATTTCAGTTCGCTATAGTGAACTATTGTCTTTACTACTCTTTAGTTAGTAGTAAATTCAAGTAAATTGTAATAGTACTACTACTAATACTACTAATAGTAAATATATTAAAGTTAAGAAGCCAGGCTACTCAGCTACTTAAAGTATTAAAGTTAAATGACTAAATGTAGTACAGTAGTTGTAGGACAAGTAATTGTAATAGTAACACTCAGCCCATTCTTCTCATACCATTTGCCCGTGGGGCATATATAGGTATAATTATATAGTATATTTTTTTAATAGACCAGTGGACACTTGATGGGTAATGTCCCCAGCATCACTTTGCTGGTAACTTTTCTTCCCATGATATTTCCTGCTTGCCATATTAGGCTTATTTAACCTGGAGGCTTGAGTAATTTATGTTTAAAAAAAAACAACCCAAAATGGCTTGGTTGACACTATTTGCCACACATGTGACTCTGATTTTGGTCTTGTCAGTTCTTTTTTTTTTTTTCAAGTTTCAAGAAATATGCACCTGCTTAAATTTTTTTCTTTACAGCAGATTGGTTTAACAATTTCAGAATTAATGTCAGTTTTAAAAGAGGCAAAGAATTTAACCTGTAACAAACATCAGAGAGTGACAGCTAGGATTGCCAGATTTTATAAAATAAAGGTAAAGGTGCGAGGATTGACTTTGTTGCACCAGGTTTTATCCCATATGGCTCAGTCTCTCGCCGCAGAACAGCTAACTGTCTGACGAGAGTGTCGCAGAGAGCACAATCTCTGTAGCTCCGTCAGCAATACCAAGGGATCTCTGTTAAATTTGTGCTTGTGGACTGAAAGGCCCTGCCGTAAAAACCAACCCATGACCTTCAGAGCGCGAGGCGAATGGCTTGACCACCTTGCCATTGAGACCCCATTTTTGTAAAATAAAAAAACAACAGTGATGACTAATTATTCGTTTATGACGACTTTTTTTTCCCCACTGCTGATAGACTTGAAATATATGTAATTAACATACTAAACTTTTTCCATAGGAACAAAATTCAAAATTTTGGGGAGAAAAAAAACCCTGAAGAATCTGGTGCCATGCTTATTTACATTTCACTAGATGATAAAGAAAATTATTGTCTAGTCTCTCTTCTTCAGCATTCCAAGCCCTTGAGGTTCATTGCTGCAGATATCACCTGCCTCCATTCATCTCTCTGGTTGGCCTTCTCTTTCCAGTTTATTGTCTGGTAGTTTGCAAAAATATATGTTCTAGATAAATTTCTCTGCGATTACACATGAAGTTCTCATATTTTCTGGTTATAGTAGTAGTAATTTAATCAACATTATCTTGTTGAACCCTTCTGGGCTTGTGGTATATGTAAATTTGATATTTTCTGATATTGAATAATTTGTTTCGGTTGGCGTCTGTGGCATATGTGTTACAATCACGCATTTTAATTCCAAAATACCCAGTTCAATTCCAGCTGCGGTTGATTTGGCAGCAAACTGCTTTGCATTGATTTCAACAGTGATGTGAAAGCTGATAGTTCAGACAGCTGTGGAAACTGAATGTAAAATTGCTTATTAAAATCACAAACAGCTAAAAGATATTGGGGTTGGTTCTGCAATTTCCTGTAGAGGATACACAACTAACTTTAAATGTAATGCTTTTGGATATTTGATGTCTGTTTGTGTCTAAAAATACTTTTAGATATTTGATGTCTGTCACACAATAGTCTTAATACTCCTCTGCCTAATATTAGCTGTTTAAAGGGTGCAGTAGTAGTCTGCCCTATGCTTCATGTAGGTCTTTTGATACTTTTCAGATAATTTCAGTATGGTATTAAAAAGTGAACTGTAGTGATTTTGTAATGAAATATGCAAGAAGTAGGATATGAATTATACAGGTATTGAGGTGGATTTGTGTGAACAGGATCAGATGGATCACTTTGGGAAAAGGGAAAAGGGGGGTGGGGGGGGGGGGCCTTGTAACCAACAGTGGTGAGTTGTCTGATTTTAAATGAGTTGAGGACAATTATTGAAAGGCTGCACTGATATCTGCATAAGAACAACTGTTAAAATGTTACATACCAGAACTCTACATGCACATTTCTGCTTTGTTTCCACAGGATGCTAAAAATATTTGAGTTAAGAAATTATAATACTTTATTAAATGTGTATATCTAAATTTGAGGACACCCACCCACATCGAACTGCTGGCTGCTTAGTAGCAGTCAGATATCCCAGTATAACTATTATACGTTTGAGCAGTGTTTCTTACAACATAAGACAATCCCAATCAGCACAAAGAAACACACTCATACATAGCATATTCATTCCTACTGTGTGCTACCAGTGCCAGACACGTTCACTCATGACAAACTATAAAAGACAATTAGTGACCATTAAAAAAAAAATAAGAGCTGTCTGAGGAGGGCTGCAAAAGTGGCCAGTAGAGATAAACATCAGAAATGAGATTATGAGAAAAAAAGTCTGCACATAACCAATTCTAAATGACATAAAAAGACAGCAGATCAAGTGGTTTGACCACTTATAACGCCTTGCGACGCCTTACCATACAAGGCATATACCAAAATTAAAGAAGAACACAGAGCGAAAGAAAGACCAAGATCAGAATGGAAAGATAACATCATAGAAACTATACATCATGATGTGACTATGGTTAAGGTGACCAGAACAGCAAAATGCAGAACTTTATATCTTTCTCAACACCGTAAGCGGTAAAAGAGGCAGTGAAGAAGAAGAGTGTTGCTGGGATTTGAATCTGTTTGATTCTCATCCATGAGATTTTAAACCTTCAGATAGCAATTCTAGAGAGGGAAAACACATATATATCTTGCCTTATTTGCTCTTGTCCATTGTTATACTTTCTGTTCTATCTTTTACTGTTTCTGTTATTGCTGTCATTGTGAAAGTTTTACTGATGATTATCCACTGGTTAAACTGAATCCATCTGGATTTTTTTCTTCAGCTGCTGTAGGTATATATTTTTTTTTACTGTTATGCGGTTGCATGAAATGGGTGAATACATTTTGGTTTTAGCTGTAGTGTGGCAGTAAAATTGTGTTCACATAATTTTTTGAATGCAACAGTAGTGTCCTGTCTTGATTTTACTGGTTTGTTTCTCTACACCATATTCTAGCCGTGGTGTAATAGCTAGACACTTGCCTGCAGATTGGCAAAATGGGAGTTCAGGTCATGACAGAGCTGGAATTTAAATTTAAAAAAAAACTTTGGCTCCAATGTCGACGCAGCCCTTTATAGTTACAAGGTCAAGTCCTGGGAAGTAAAGGTGGCCAGCGCAATGCCCCACCAAGTGCCAATTGGTCTGTAAAATATAGGTCTGGCCCTGTATTCATACTATGCCTAAAGGCAGAGAAAAGGATCCTCTACTCTTCACCAGTGCTACTCAGCACTTTGGCCCCAGAGTAAACTTAGTCGAATTGCCCTGGTCTATACCATATTCTACCCCCCAAAAAAATATAATTTAGGCCTTTATGTTGCCTAAAAATTGGTACTGGGAAATGTTATGGGAAGTAAAGGTGGCAGGTAGGACCACATCACTTACTGAGGAGTGCTGATTACCAACATATGCCTGATATACATAAAAGCATACTTTGCAGTGCAACGCTGTGAAAGGTGGACACATTTATGCTTCATGTAGATAGACTAGCATGCATTGCTTCAGACATCTATCATCTATCCTTCTTAAGATATTTTCTCTAGGGTATATGGAACTGCAGCTCTCCGGTGGCTAGAGAACAAGAAGCATACACATGTCGTAATTGTAACAGACTCTGAAGGCTTGCTGAGAAAGGTGAAGACAGGAAGGCTTTGAGCAGAGTGGCAAGCTACACTTGAGAATGAGGCACCTGAGTGTAACCAAAGTGTTTGGCCAGCTCACTACGCTCAGAGGAAAGGCAAGAGAAACATATAACCAGATTGTGACCAGTTTCATCAGTATTGGAACTCTGCACTGGCTACTGATGACGATGAAGCACGCATGGAAATACCCCAAGTGCTGTATGTCAATTCTTGACTCAACTTAACTCCTGGGTATATAATTGCGTTTGGAAAATGTGGAGGCACACTTAGATTATCATGGTCTGATAGAATGGTGCAACGGGAAGTGACTAGGCGATCTGAATCAAGAGTGTTACTGGTACCATCAGAATTGCAACTCTGCTCTTGCTGCTGAAGATGGGGACGGAGAGCTTATGGTAGTGTCCCGAGTGCTGTGATATCAGTTCTTAAAACTCAACTCAACTTCAAGGCATGGAAATGGGTCTTCTGCTGTTACTCAAATGTTTCATTAAAAAAAAAATTTAAATTTTTTGGGGAGGGCACATTTTTACAGTTGTAAGCAATATTCTATTGTGACATGCATTAGTGTAGTGGCTAGATACCTGCCTGCCAGCCTTTATATCTAGGGTTTAAATCTGCACTGAGGCAGATTGTTTCTTAAACGACTCTGGCTCTCAGGTTTATCCATCCTAAAATGATTGGCAGGTATAGTCCAGAGAAGAAGAAATGGACACTGTGAAGTTGACCACATCACCCATGGAGTGCTGATGGGCCTATATATCAGTCTAGCACCATACTGTAGACGCCCCATTGACGTAAAAATGGTCCTTTACTTTTTCACTTCTAATATCCTCTGTTGGTTTTCAGTGTGTTATTTATGTGCCGGAGTACCTTTTTTTGGCATGCCATATTAGCTTTATCAGAGATGTTTATTTACCTTGATTTTTGTCCTGGGTTTTTATTGTTTTCTGTTAATTCATATTGAAAATTAGAAGTATGTTATATTCATATATTATTCTTGATTTGGAACAGATTTTGTAGGCCAGATCTGTTTTTTTTAAAAAACCAGAATTATTAGATTATAATCTTTTACTCATAATTTGGAAACAATATGTGGACTAAAATCTTCATGAACAAAATTTTAGCACAGTAGTGCATAAACGGTTAATCAGTCTTTTTGACATATATTTCTCCCCCAGCCTATCTCTGGGTTTATGTTTAACTTTAACAGTTTATAACTGAACTGCCTTGAATTTATAGCAGTTGAATGAGCCTTTGTATGTGGTCTTTTGAGGGGACAAATAAAAGGATCTCTAGATAACCATGTTAAATGAAATGTGGCATCTGGGTGCTTGTTTTCACACCTGAGTTGGCACACATACATGTTCTACCACATCGCAGAGCTATTTTTACCACTTACACTCCATCTCATGCTTTAACTACCATCTCCAAACCACTCCCATTTTTCATTTTTTTCTTCTTATTTTTTCTATTCCTCCAATTACTTCATCATGGGGCGGTGTTCTTTTGAATGCTCTCTATAATGCATTGTATAAGTTAATATTATTAATATTATTTTTTTAAATGCTGTTCTTGTTTCAGTGGTTGCATGTTTTGTATGGTCTTTCCCCTTGTTTTGTGTTCATTTTTTTCCTTTAGCATGGCTGTCTTTAGCAGTTGGTATCAGGGAATTTCTCATTAGCTTATTAAACTATCCTATACGTTGCTCTTTAATGGACTTTATGACAGGTTTAATTATTTTACCTCAGAAAACAACTAAAGAAACAGGTCTCTATTTTTGTCATCGTTTAATTTTGGAAGATTTTCAGTTAAATCTGCACAACTTTTCTCCATATTACACATAATTACGAACGCTTTGTAATGCCGCGGTGCCGGGTTCGATCCCAGCTGCGGGCTATGCGCCTTGCATCGGTTTCGACAGTGGTATCATGGAACCGACCGTCCAGAAAGCAATGGCAAACTACTGGATGTAAATTTGCCTAGAGAAACCATACAATAGCCAGGGGCTGCTGGGGTTGGTTCTGCGACGTCCTGTAAAGGATACGCAACAAACCTATATTTACTTTATCGGCGTAATGCTAACCACATTACCCACTTAGTGCCGATGGTCTGTGAAAATATGGGTGCTCTTCCCGTATACCCGATACACCAAAAGGCGTGAAAAGGGATCTTTCCTTCTTTTTTTTTAAACTTTTATAGTTGCTTTATGGATTGTGGATGGGGTACAGCCTGGAACTGTTGGAATTGAGCATGTTTGCCTACTGCTCTGAAGATCAAAGGTTTGTTCTGTGGACCTGTCATTCAGCTCATGAGTTTTCCCCGGATTTGATCTCATATGGCCCAGTCTCTCTCTCTCTCTAGAACAGTTAGCCACCTGCCAAGAGTGTAGCGCAAAGCACAAACTCTGTAGCTCAAGTTATTATCCCCTGGGATCTTTGTAAAAAATTACACTCGTGAATAGAATGATTCAGTCCATGAAACGAATCTATGACTTTCAAAACATGAGGCAAACAGCCACTTGGCCATGGACACTCACCCAGGATCTATATCTGTGGTCACTGAGAATCTTCATGAAACGAACCCATGACCTTCAAAGCAAGAGACAAACTGCTAGACCAAACAGTTAGACCACTAGGCCATGGAGACCCACCTATAATCTATCACTGTGGTCACTGTCAATCTTGTTTTTAAAATTTTTAATTGAAACTTTGATATTTATTACATCCCAAGCTTCCCCTGGAGAAGGAAGATGGCCCAGCACCCCCTTCTGTCATTACTGTCGGTGATGAACAGCGTTCACGAAGACTCCGTTTCCAGAAGAATCAGAGAAAGTGCCGACTTATTGTTGGCTTTGTTACCATCATGATCATCATCGCTGTTGCTACAGCCCTGACTTTCACTTTGGTGAAATTGCTGCACAAGCATCGTAAGGTAAGCATATTGTTTTACAGTGTAAGCATATTGTTTTACAGCGTAAATAGATGTTGTTTTCTATTTTAGTGTGTACTCTTACAGTTTTAGTATTTTGTTTTAAAAAACCTGTGCTGTCTGCACAGTGGAGGTTGACTGCAATCTATCCAGTGCTAACTATGGGACAATTACATGGTGGAACCCCTGTCCCTTCCATGATATAGCTCTTGTACCACTGTACCAAAGTCATGAGAATGGTCTTTTTCTGAACTGCCCACCACCAGAATCAAACCCCGGTAAACATTGTCAATTGATTGCCTTTGTGAAATTAACTAACCTCTGAGCCACAGAATAAGTTACTTAACTCTTTCTGTCCCAAGAAATGCGTCATTCGTTCATAGGTTCCTACCTAAAAGCTTAGTGAACCCAAGAAGCACTGATTATATATTTCTATTTATCACCCTTGGGCCTCTGATGTGTTAAACCCTATGGGACTGAAGCAAGGAAGAAACCATTTTCATGCCAGTGGCATGTGATGCTAAGCCCCTTATCTTATAAGTCAATTGACACTCAAGGAGTGGTGTGGTCAACATCCTGCCGGCCATCTTTGTTTCCCAGAGCACTTACTGACATTAATTTTAGGTTAGGTAGATCGGAAAACCAAGGTCAGTTATTAAAATATATATATATATAAAAAAAAAAAGAAAGTGACCTTGATACGGGCTCGAATACGACATAATAAGTTAGTAGACAAGCATCTGGTCATTGACAGTGGTTCCAGCTAAATTATATTGTTCTAATGTAAAAATGTGTTTTAGTGTTTCTTGTTGTTGTTGTTGTTCTTCTTCTTCTTCTTATTATTATTATTATTATTCCTCTTCTTCTTATTCCTCTTCTGCTTCATCTTCCTTTTGTTCTTCATCCTCTTCCTCTTGTTCTTCATCCTCTTCTTTTTCCTCTTCTTTCTCTTTTTCCTCCTCCTCCTCTTTCTAATCTTCTTCTTCTTACTTCTATCCCCTAATGAAACATAGGCCCTCAACCAAGTCACAGCAATTCGCTCTTTCTTTTGTTATTGCATGCAGCTCACCCCGTGTCCTTCCCATCTTTTTAACTTCACTCTCAAGCTCCCTTCTTCATGTGTTTTTTTTTGTTTTTTGGTCTGCTTTTATTTCTGTGTCCACGTGGGATCCAGTTTAAAGTCATTCTAGTTATGTTGTTCTAAGGTTTTCTCAGCGGGTATCCTTTTCAGTGGCAGCATCTTTTCTTCACCTCTTGGTCCACTGGAAATTGTCTAGCTCTCTCTCCAAAGCTCAACATTAGTGATTCTATCATACCATTTAATTCTCGTTGTTCTGCATGTTTTAGTGTTGATTTATAGTATAACAGTTTATGTATGTTATTTTGAAGTTAAAGCATACTATTTTTATAGAGTAAGTATATTATTTTACAGTGTGAGTATAATATTTTACAGTTTAAGTATAATATTTTACAGTGTAAATATATTATTTTTAGAGCAAGTATATTGTTTTGCTGTGAAAATCTATTATTGTACAGGAGAATAGATCCAAGCTCTTATAAAGCATGTCATAAAGGCAACTTATTCAGGGTTTCCTGAAAATAGATGTGTTGGACTGGTATATGCAGATATAGCAGCCTAGCTGTGAACCACAAAACAGTGGGCTAAGTGCCAATTTTAGGGCACATTTTTTTTTTAAAACTTTTTTTTCCCTCAGGGAATTATAAAGGTAGAAATATGAAGTTGTCTACAGATAAAAAGATTTTATATTTTTACAATGTACAAGTATACTATTTTTACAGTACCAATGTGTTGAATTACAGTGTACCAGTATTTTGTTATACGCAATACCAGAATACTGTTTTACTGCGTAGGTATTGTTAGACAAGTCTGGCTTACAATGCAAATTAATTCTTGTTCCTGTTTTTTGAAAAGTACATTGTGCGGCAATACTGTGATACGTATGCCTGTTGACTGAAATAAGCTCGTTGATTAAATTGTAAAGTGAAACTGTCCTATCTGTGTCAGCTGACTAATGTATTCAACTTCAGGACAACACAGTTGATAATGAGACTTCCCTCCCCTCTTCAACACATGCTATAAATATTCTTTTTTGTGGCTAGGATTTTGGAACGTTGCCAGGTTTGGTTGACAGCCCACTGAATATACGTTTCAACTAGCAAGTGATTTTTTTTTAAAATATACATTGTGTGCAAACAGGACTTCTTGTATTTTTACATCCTGTTTCAAGAGGGCCAATATTTTAATACTCTAACCAGAGATTTTACCTGTGAAACAAACAATGTCTAGAACAACGTTTAGTTTAAGAATGAAGGTAGAGGCTGTCACTGCTGCCTCCCGCTGGTTTGAGAATCAGCTGTACACACATGCCGTGCTTGTCATTGACTCGCAGAGCATTTTGAGAAAGGTGAGGACAGGCATGCTCCATGCAGAGTGGCAAGCATCATTTCAAAGGTCCCGGGTAGTTAGAATTCTTTGGATATTTTCTCCAGGTATGCCGGTGTGTTATGAAATGAGCAGGCAGATAGACTGGCTGGTTCTGCACCACTTGGTGGTGAACTGATGTATGGCAAGATTGATGTTGTAAGGGCCCTTTGGGAGCGAGTGAACAGTGCTGAGGCACAGATAGATCATTACGGTCTGAGGAGAATGACACTCCAAACAGTTACAAGGGGATCTGGCCGACGCTCGACACTCAGGGAAAAGGTGAGACGGATATACAATCATACAGTTACTGGCACCATGTGAATTTTAACTTTTTGCTTGCTGCTGAAGATAGGGAGGGAGCGCTTGTGGGGGTGCCCTGAGTGCTGTGAAATCGATTCCTAATTCAGCATTCAACATTCACCTGTGATGAAATTATATTCACAACTTCACTTGAACCTGAGCCCTATTTTAGGAGACCCGGGTTTGATTCCTTGATAAGATGATGGAAATCTTTGGTACTTTTATTTTAGGTTACCCAAACATGGGGAAATCCTTAATCCCTGGGAAAGTCTAATATTATAGGGATGTTAGGGTTAGTCAGTGTTCATTTCAAACTGTAACACCCTTATAATATTGGACTTTCCTTGGCTTTTCAGGGTACCCTGTGTTTGGGATGAGCTAAAATGAAAGTATCAAATCTCTTTTTCTGTCAGGAGCAAAAATAAAATGTTGTTGTCGTCACAGTTGATGTGGACTGCACTAGTGCAGTCCTTAAAGATCTCCCTGCCCTAAAGAGTGGTAATTATGGGCAGTAAGGACAGTTTACAACTTTTCTTGCAAGAGGTGGACATGTTATTTCACTATATAATGATAGATCCGGTAGACTGGCTAGCTTGCTGTAGTTGTAGATGGCCGGCCTAGGGCTCGCCTTGACATTGAGAGATAGGACGATTTGAAGATTGTAGGAGCAGTGTGTCCACATCATAGCTAAGAATGTGATAATTTAGAGTAAAGATTGGCACATCTGAGCATGAGAGGGACACAAGATGTTGTAAGGAAAAGTGCAGATAAAGCATGAAGAGGAAACACAATGTTAATGTTGGTGGACAACACAAAGGGATGAATTAATATAAGTAAGGGATATAATAGACTTTTTTGGTGGTGCTGCGATGGTTTTGTTGAGAATTAAATCTTCTGTCCAGACAGTGTAGGTATGTTTATATTTCACTTCTGTAGATAAAATTTGGTGCTTGTGTTTTAGTTGTTGAGAACACACTTCATAATTCCAAAGTGCCGGTTTAATCCCAGCTTTAGGTTATTTGTTAGCAGATCTTTGCATACGTAAAATTGCGTAGTGAAATCACAAACAACAAAAGGAAAATTGGAGCCTACAATGTCCTGTAAAAAGTATGCAGCTAACTTATGTAAAAATATACAACCATATTAGGGATTAGAACCCATGATTCCAGAACGATGGCAGAGTACGACCTTCTTTAATAGTTTTTTAAAAATTACTCAAGTTTTCAAAACTTCTAAAATTATTGCTTCAAAAGCTTTTTATTTGTAACTCATATAGAACAACTTTCACTCTGCATTTTAAACATATTATTAAGGCATGTCTGAATGTTGATTTCTGCATTTCTTATTTATATTTTATATCCATTTTTTTTTTTAAATTTCTAGCTTACTGCTCTTCATGTATTGATATCAAGTTTTGTATTTGTTTGTGGGGGGAGGGGGGGAATCTCCATGGCAAAGTGGTCAAGCCATTTGCATCAGGCTCTGAAGGTCGTGGGTTTGTTTCACGGCTGTGCCCTTTAGTTCATGAATGCAATTTTTATGGAGATTCCTGTGGATCAATGCTGGAGCTAAAGAGTCCATGCTCTGCGCGGCACTCTCGGCAGGCTGCTAGCTGTTCTGCGGAGAAAGACAGAGCCATATGGGATAGAACCCAGTGCAATGAAGTCAATCCTCTCGACTTTAACTTTATTGTGTTCGTTTGTTGAGCTTACATTTTAAAACCATTTTGACATATTTTTTCAAAGTCATGGACGGTGCCTGAGAAGAATGGACAGACATCGAATGTGAATGTTGATGATAAAAACCAGTTGATCCGTGCTAGGCACCATCATCATAATGACCAGGGCCAGTCTGTTTGTTTGGAGTCTCTTCACGAGTACCACAGAGTAAGTGTTAATCATCTGTTTTTGAGTGTGCTGGATCTTCCAGCTTTACTTGCTGGGTCTGCAAAACTTGGTGGAATACTGATGCATGATAAGGCAGACAGGGTTAATTCCCCTGGGGAGAGCGTGTACAGTTTAGAGAAGCAGATGGATCACCACAGTCTGGTGAAATTGATGCAGAGGGGAGTGACGAGAGGTTCTGGCTGATGCTCGAGTCTTAGAGGAAAGGCAAGGCGGATGTTTAATCAGGATGCTACTGGCACCATTAGTATCGGCACTCTTCACTGGCTGCTGAAGATGGGGACAGAAGGCTTATGAGAATGCCTCAAGTGCTGTGATGTCGGTTCTTGACTCAACATAACTCATTACTGATTAATGTCCCCGCATGCCAAATTTGTAAAATGGATGTACATGAAAAATCCAAGTTCTGTAACTAGATCAAAGTCCAGAAGAATAAGAACAACCAGTTTTTTCCCACCGTAGTTTACAGCCGGGGATTATGGAGTAGGAGAAGACTGGCTGCCACATCTCATAGAAAACTTCAGGTTAAAAATGCAACCAAACTTCAACAAGTCCACAAAGAGCTTGACATAAGTTGGTTGACGGTGCTTGCTCCGTTGGGAGTTGAAAGCAGAAATAAAAGAAGTGCACACTGCCCGACTCACACAGAAGGGCTTATCTGTCACATAGTTTGATTTACCTGTGATATGTAAGACCTTTTTGTCACATGGTATGTCTTATTTGTAACATTGTGTGTGGTTTATCTGTCACATTGTATGATTTATCTGTTACACATTATGATTTATCTGTCACACAGTATTACTTCTTTATCACACAATATGGCTTATCTGTCACACAATCTGATCTGGCACCACTATATGACTGATCTGTCACTTGACACACAATTTGACTTATGTGTCACATAATGACACATCTGTCACACAATATGATGATTTATCTCAAACATGATGACTTATCTTCACATGATGTTATGATCTGTTTCTGGTTGAAACAAGCATAAGACAAGTATGCATGCTAGAGAACATCGTGTGAGGAGAGGAGTGGATCAGAATACTAGAAAAGTCTGACCTGTGTAGGGTTATGATAACATTGGGCCGGGAATGCAGAGAGTGACCAGCGGGTGCTACAGAGGTGGAAGTCCAACAGTTGATTCACGACAATTCACACACCGGGTGATCTGATTATCTATACAGATGGTTCGGTGTTGAGAGGAAAGAGAAGTGCCTAGGGTTTCGTAGCGAAAGCCAATTAAAAATGTTTAATGCAAGACAGCTTAGCATTTGACACCACAACATCTAGCATGAAAATGGAGGTGGAGGTGGTAACTGCAGCTCTCCGGTGGCTAGAGAACAAGATGCATATACATGTCGTAATTGTAACAGACTCTGAAAGCATGCAAAAAGGTGAAGACAGGGATGCTTCGAGCAGAGTGGCAAGCTTAACTGAGAAGGTCATGGGTAGTGAGCATACTTTGGATCTTTTCTCCAGGCTATGCCGGTGTGGTGGGTAATGAACAGGCAGACAGATTGGCTGGATCTGAACCACTGGGTGGTAAATTGATACATGACAAAGTAGATGTGGTCAATGCCCTTTGGAAACAAGCAACAGAATCAGTAGCAAAACAAGATTTTTATGGCCTGGAGAGAATAAGGCACCTGAGTGTAACCTGGCCAGCTCACTACACTCACTACAAAACGAATATATAACCATATTGTGTCAGGTACGATCAGTATTGGAACTCTGCGCTGGCTGCTGAAGATGAGAACGGAGCATGCATGGGAATGCCCTGAGTGCTGTGATGTCATTTCTTGACTCAACTCAGCTCCATTCAACTCATCTGTTTCTTCTTTCTTTCCTAGTCATGAATATATTTGTCTTTATTAAAGTGCATACTGTTGTTTCACTCCTTGCAGCGATTTGTTGCCTACAGAGATTGCAGCACCCTCGTTTGTTACATTGACAGACTGGATGAAACTTATGAAGTGGGCTATGCACGCTGGGAAGCCTATGAAGTAAGTCTGAGGCAGATTATAAGTATGAATAATAAACAAATACATATGTATTGATTAGCACTTATAGAAAGAAGTAGAAAGATTGAAGGCCATACTTGAAAGAGACACACCCACACACACACCCTTCCTGCCTCACCCACCAACCCACAGAGAGAGAGAGAGAGATAGAGAGCAGGAGAAAGTTATAGTTACGTGTTCCCTCCAAATTTTAACAATGCCCTAATGCAAGAAAAAGTGCACTAAAATACATGACCAGCTAGACACCCCTTAAAAAGATGTCTTGATTAGCCATGTCTTTTGTACAGCTTGAACCCACAGTTATGTAACAGACTGAATTTGTCCCAAACCATTGAAATATCACTACAGCTTACAGAATTTCATATTAACCAAGCATAAGTCGATAACAAACACAACAAGAGTTATAACACATGGACCATAATGCTGTGTCTAGTTTACAACAAACTTTTAAAGAAGAGATTTGACTGATCAGTTCTATAGTGTTTTACGTATAAAGGACTTTGCATGAGTTAATTAAGGATGTGTTCCATTGGAAAATGAAAGGCATGCGTAGCAGATACTTGGCCACTAGATCTGATTTGAATTGCCCCCCTCCCCCTTCCTTCTGTGTATTGTTATATATCATCATCACACAGGGAACACTAAAAAAAAAGGTCATGACCCTGTGAATTCCTGAAAAATTATTACTAAAAAAAAAATCATACAAGGCAAGTAAAATTAACGTGTAAGTAGATCCAACCAGAAGAGTAAATTTTGTGGCGTCATGGGGCAAAAGGGATAAACCGATACATGATGAATACTGCAGTTTCCAGGCTTTGATTAGGATATAGAAAGAAATTTTGAGCTGAGTTGAGAATCACCATCACAGCACTCGAGACATTTCCATATGCACTCCATCCCCATATTCAGCAGCTAGTGAAGAGATCCAGTGCAGGTGGCACCAGTATCAGTTTGATTGTTTGTCCATCTTGCCTTTCCTCTGACCTCTGAGCATTAAATTATATACCTTATTTATTTCTGTTTTTGATTTGTTTGAATTGGCTCCATAAATTCTCGATGCTGTCAAGGATGAGAAAATGATTCAGGAGAGGAAATTGTATCAGCAACACTCAAAACACTACAAGAATTTCAGGTCAGAAGAGGTGTTGCCAAACATGACACTATACGGGTAGCCAAAGAAGAATAGTAAACCAACACAGAACTGGAGTTATCAGCCGACACCCGCCGAGGGATACACTGAAGATGGGATCCAAGCGCTTATGGACTTGCCCAAAGTGCAGTGAGGTTAATCTTTTAATTAACTAACTAACACAATGAATTTAACGTAAATAAGTCTCCCCTGTTTTCAAATATACATTTTATGCATCATTAGACAAATGGCAAAGACTCAAAAGCTTTGAAAGTGATTGGTAAACCTATTGAGATTGAAGTGCTCAGACACATTGGAGATATCCACATTTACGCACATTGCCAGAATGGGACTTCCTACTGGGCAATGGAGATTGAGGAAACAGGTAAATGGTTTTTTTTTTAAATGTGAGCTCAGGTGATCTGATTGGATTCATTATTAATTGATACATTTTATAATTTTGGGAGTTGCCATGGCGTAACGGCTAGATGCTCACGTGCGGATAGAAAGGTCATAGGTTTGCTTCCTGGCGAAGCCAGACTTTAAAAAAAAAAATGACCTTGACTCCCAGGTCGAGCCTTGAGTGGATACCGGGTGCAGTCCTGGGAAGTAAAGGCCGCCTGCATAATGAAGACCCCATCACCTATTTTGTGCCGATTGGTCTATAAAAATATATGCCTAGCCCTATATGCCTTATATGTCTAAAGACAGGGAAAAGGGACCTTTACTTTTTTTACATTTATAATTTTGGAATCACTGTGTGGGCTATGTGAAATATCAGGACAAACACTGGTATCAAGAACTTTAAGCTAAAGATAATAGCATGTGGAGCAGCTGACAGAGAATCCGTCAATAGGCAATGAAATGGGAAACAAATAGATGATCAAAACATGGACATCCAAGGGAAAGCCTAACACAAATGTTGAGAGAGGCCAGACGAGCTGGACTGGATTTTATTGAACAACTGCAAGTTCTATATGATTTATAATGGCACAAGAGGATAGAATGGAGTACAGAACAACTGCAAGTCTTGTATGATTTATAATGGCACAAGAGGATAGAATAAAGTACAGAACAACTGCAAGTCCTATGTGATTTATAATGGCACAAGAGGATAGAATAAAGTACAGAACAACTGCAAGTCCTGTATGATTTATAATGGCACAAGAGGATAGAATAAAGTATAGAACAACTGCAAGTCCTATATGATTTATAATGGCACAAGAGGATAGAATAAAGTACAGAACAACTGCAAGTCCTATATGATTTATAATGGCACAAGAGGATAGAATGGAGTACAGAACAACTGCAAGTCCTATATGATTTATAATGGCACAAGAGGATAGAATGGAGTACAGAACAACTGCAAGTCCTGTATGATTTATAATGGCACAAGAGGATAGAATAAAGTACAGAACAACTGCAAGTCCTATGTGATTTATAATGGCACAAGAGGATAGAATGGAGTACAGAACAACTGCAAGTCCTATGTGATTTATAATGGCACAAGAGGATAGAATGGAGTACAGAACAACTGCAAGTCCTATATGATTTATAATGGCACAAGAGGATAGAATGGAGTACAGAACAACTGCAAGTCCTATATGATTTATAATGGCACAGGAGGATAGAATAAAGTACAGAACAACTGCAAGTCCTGTATGATTTATAATGGCACAAGAGGATTGAATGGAGTACAGAACAATTGCAAGTCCTGTATGATTTATAATGGCACAAGAGGATAGAATAAAGTACAGAACAACTGCAAGTCCTGTATGATTTATAATGGCACAAGAGGATAGAATAAAGTACAGAACAACTGCAAGTCCTGTATGATTTATAATGGCACAAGAGGATTGAATGGAGTACAGAACAATTGCAAGTCCTGTATGATTTATAATGGCACAAGAGGATGATGCTAAGGAATTGATAACAGGGAATTCACAACAGCTGCAGGGTGTGCTGGATATCTTCTTCTTAAAGTCTTAGCCATGTGGCTTTGATGATCGTGTCTATCCACACCCTTCTTTCTCGGGTATTCTGTCAAATTAGACACAGCTGATCTTCCATGCCATGATGTCCCTGTCCAGCATCTGTTCTATAAAAAAAAAATCATACAGAATACCCATCACTGTCCCATGTGAATTGTTGAACAGACTGCAGTCAGTCCTGAGTTTAGCTGAGCTAAGAAACGGCATCACACCACTTGGGACATTCCCATATTTGCTCTGTCCTTATCTTAGGCAGACAGTGAAGATTGTCAGTGCTTATGGATACCAGTAGCACTATCATTAATACTTTCAGGCCTATGAATTTTGGCAGCAATAATTTCCCTTTACAAAAAGGGCGACAGGGTAGTGTTAAAACAAAAAAGCAATTAAAAATGTAATATATTTCTAATCCCTACAAAGTGTATATTTTTTTTAAAGGAGGAATGAATGTAAATTTTGAATCTGATGAATTTGTTTTTGTTTAATGTTGTTATGTTTAGTAGAGGAAAAAGAAAGGATTCAGCAGGTATTATCTTTACAAGTAGCGGCGTCTGAGGCGTTGAGAGCCCCACTCGTAATTCCAATGTGCTGTGATGGAAACCCACTGCTGGCTGCGTTGATTTTTATCGTGGTATGGAGCGTCGCAGGTCGACCCAGCCTAAAATAGGTACCAGGATGGCTGTCCTGGGGAAGTAGAGATCGCCGGCGTAATGCTGACCACAATACCCACCTAGTGCTGATGGTCTGAAGAAATATGGGCTCTCTTCCCATATACCCGATGCGCCTAAAGGCGTGAAAAGGAATCTTTACTTACTTTTTTACTTACTTATGTTTACAAGTCAAAATGTTACTAACAAATTCTTCACTTACCATGGTTTTGCAACCACAAGAGCAGTGAATATCCAAATTTGAGAATAACACTTTGAATTTTTTCATTTTCCTGACAAATTCAAAATTTATGCTTAGTTTTTGGGTTAGTTTTTTTTTCTTTGGTTCACTCAAAGGCTCTAGTTTCTCTTAGAGTGCTGAACAAAATTTCAAAGAAAACATAGCAGAAAAATGGACCATTCTGTACAAAAAATATTTACTTTGTTGTTGCAATGATTTTAGTGCAGCTTAGCTATAGTATGGTTGTCAGGGTCCTGTGTTTGAAAGTCCTTTAGATGCAAATAAGGTGACTATCAAATCATTCGCAAATGAAATAGGTCCTCCTAGGTTTAGCTGCTCAGAACTACTAGATTCCCTATCAGCTGACCTCCCAGCTGCCGCTGGTGTAAATTTACCACCTGAATCATTTTCTGACAAATTCAGGTTTTTATTATCATTATCAGAATTAAAAACATTTGACTGAAACAGTTTCAGAGCTTCAGCCACAGAAAGGTGCATTTTGTGGCCTGTGTTTGCGTTCTGAACATTGGTGTCCATGACCAGTGACAGACAAAATAGGGTAATTCACTGTCTGCAAATTATGCCAGCTTTAAAGCGGATACATTTGTGCCTAAATTTATAACAAATACCTGTAAACAAAGTAAAAACATTAGAGTAACCTTTCCTGAATATTTTAATGGTGGTTCTGAGCATTTAAAACAAAATTGAGGTAATATGCCAATCAATATGTACGGGACACACCATCGATTCAGACCTTGTGGTTTGATCAAATCGAACCTTCTTAGTTAACACGCACACAGCATTGCTCTGGCCTGAAAGAGTTAGATATCCATCTTGACTTTTCTCTGAGTGTAGAATGTCCGCCCAAATCAGCAGAGGGTCTGGCCGGCTCAATACACTCGGAGGAGAGGCAAGATGCACATTTAATTAGATTGTGACCTGTACCATCAGTATTGGAACTCTGCGCTAGCTGCTGAAGATGAGGAGGGAGTGCACATGGGAATGCCTAGAGTGCTCTGATGTCAGTTCTTGACTCAAATCAACTCAACTTAGCATGCTTTATGAGTCTGTTACAGTCATGACATGTCTGTTCAGCTGGTCCTCAAGACAGTGGAAAGCTGCTATGACTGCCATTACCTGCATTCTCACGCTAGATGTTGTGGTATCACATCTGAGGCTTGGCAGTTCTGGCAAAATCCATAGCATGCATACATAATAAATGCATAAGGCAGTGCCATTGGTGCCTGCACCACTAGATCTGCAGTCGAAGCAGCTCTCAGAACAAACTTGCACAGTTGCACACATATTTCTGCATAAAGCACCGTTAGTTCTGTGGTAACTGGCCAGCAACGATCTTCTGATGCCTTTCACAGTACAAACCACCCTGGGCTTAGATGGAAGGCATTCCACATGAAATCCACAGCTTACATAGGTAATGTCCGGAAAAGTAAAAATTGGCTGGTATTATTTTGACCACATCATCTATTGAGTGCCAGTTCATACTTAAAATATTAGTCTAGAATTGTATATCCAATGCACAGGTGGCATGAAAAGGTCCTTGACTTTACTCTCTGATTGTTTCTAGGGATGGTAAATATGTTTTGTTTGTTTGATTTGCAGAAATAACAACGGAAATTAAGGTTGTCTACGTGTGAAATCATACAGCTAAAGTACAGAGATACTGAGTTTCTTTATCTTGTAATGGCTGTTGTTAACTTTGTTACAGATGTCCATATGTTTCATTGTGAAGATCTAACCAAATACACACAAAACTAAAAATTTTACTACTGATAATGTAGTATTAATTTGTTTGGTTTGAGGGGGGGGGGGGGGGGGGGGGGGCATTTATGTGCATGCAAATAAGAAAAAATCGATTAATGTTTTTTTTTTAGAAACTACTTTCAGCAAATGTTCATAAAAACATTTTTTATATTGAAAACTGCAATGTCATATGGACATAATTTTGTAGTTGTGTATTTAACTTTTGCTTATACAGTTTTGTTGTCTTTGCAAGTAAATATACCTTTATGTGTTACACCATGGTTCAGTATTTGCAAATCTGAGATTTACTCAGTTGAAAATTACAGAAATTTTTGGAAACATAAATGGTAGAATTAACAGTTCTGATAAAATTTGGGAAATAATTAAGCATTTTAGGCAAACATAGATGTTTTGTCTAAAAATGTCTAAATCAACACCTACTTAAACTACACTTATAATCACACACACACACACAAAATCCATAAATATTTGTTAGCTCTTTAAACAGCCAGAAAGACTGTTTTATTTTTTCTGTGTTCATCCTTAAAATGGTGAGTGGCACACTATATTGTGATTTACAGCTAGGCTGCAATATCTTGACCTTTTTGCCCATTTTCAGTCTAATACATTCAATTCCAGCAAACTATGAATTAGTCCCTTTTTTTTTTACAACATGCAGTTTTTATTTTTAAATGGAGCATAGATGCAATTCCATTTATAATCGTGACAAGATTTTAGCTGGAGGGGTTTTATTTCTGATTACTGTTAAAGAAAATTTGATTTTTTTTTTATAAGGCGAATTGAGAATTCTAAACCTGAACACTGCTTAGCTTCTAGGCCACGCTGTTTTAACCCTAATTTCTTTAAAAATCCTGTTGGCAAATCCTGTAACCATAGTTTCATTTTCAACCATATTTTAAATATTGTAAATATTCTAAATAATGTAATATTTGTCTCCCCGCCCCCCCCCCCCCCCCCCGTAATACTTTTTTCCCCCCCAGCAATACCTTTTCTTTCAGTGGTTTTTTTTTTTAATTTTGTTTTTAAATAGAGCATTTTTTCATAGTTTAAAAAAAAAATAAAACATGCAACAATAAATACAAATTTTCCTTTGTAGTAGAACTTGTGAATAACTTTGCTATAGTTTTATTTAAAAAACAAAACATCAAATAACATCTCTCCCCCCCCCCCCCCCCCTTTTTTTTTTAAAGTATTAGCTGTTTAAAACATTTTGGTCATAGTCATATTAAAAAACTGTGAAACAGATGTTTAATTTTTCTGTCTAGCAGCACTTTATACTAAGCACTTTGTCATTGTTTTATAAAACAAAACTAAATAAATTTGTATTTTCCTATTTAACAGCACATATTACAGAGCACTTGTCCTAGGGTTATAAAGTAACATATTTATTTTCCTATCTGACAGCCCTTGTTACAGGCATAACTTGTTAACTTTTACAGACATTTTAGTCTGCATACAGTTTGTACAAAACAGTCCTGAACTGACAGTTTTTACTGAGATTTTGAAGTCAGTTTAGTTTCAGTAAATTTTAAAACAAGCATGTATGTTGTTCAAGATTAATATTGATATATACATTCCAGTATGATCAGTATGTTGAAATAATTGTATTTTTATAAAAAATGAGTTATTTTTTATAAAAATTTTAAGTGTAACTTAATTTTATAATAGAATCCCCCCCCCCCCCCCCCCCCCCCATCCAAAAGAGAAAAATTTTACTCACTTAAAAGAAGGGGATAAAAATCAAAATGAGACTAGTTACAATCAAGACAGAATGAATACATGGTAATAACAAGATAGGGAAGGAAAAAAAACCTGGCTTCATGCAAATAGATAATATCAAAATCAACAAGCAGAAACCTACGAGTACTTGGGTACAAATTGCTACTGCTACAACATACACAGAAGAAAAAACCAATCCAATAATACAGTAAGAAAAAAAGGTAAATTGTTGCCTACAGCATCTGCTGAAATGAAATGTTTATTCAGGTAAGAGTAAGAACATTAAATGCATTTTATATTACTTTATTTTCTAGTCCCTTTCAAAATTAATTATTATAATATAAACCTCTATCTGTTTCCTGATTCAAAATAAAATAAAACCATGCTTGTTATATTGGTTGAATTTGAGGAAGGAGAAACAAGGATAACGCGAATAAAGAGCTAAATACCTGGATAGGATGAGACAAGAATACTGGCTTGATCTGTAATTCTGGTGATCATGTGATATGGCCAAACATGTCCACCTATGTGTATCAGCAGGACACATGGTGATGATGGTGAGAAGCATCTGCCATGATCAGATTATCATGTGCAAGAGGAAACAGTTTACAAGATCCATCAAAATGAACTTAATTCAGCAAAGATTGCTAAAAACTTACAGAGTAAAAATTGTTGAAGCTGTTGAAAGTTAACTTAGCAAAGACTGCTAAAAACTCAGAGTACAAATTGTTGAAGCTGTTGTAAGCTTAAACCAATACAGATGTTCAGTAGCCCTTATCAAGTGTATTCAGATAGCCATTACTAGCCAGAAATAATCATAGACATGTCCTTATATTTATGCAAATAACAAAATAACAGACAGTAATTCCTTTTTCTTAAACTATAACAAAACCTGCCACATAGTCAGATATGAGTAGAAATCATGTGATGGTGACTTTAAGAAATTATTTGCTCAGAGCTAAAAAAAAAAGATCACGACGTGCGAAATGAGATGCTTACGTAAGGCTGCCAATGTCACAAGGAGAGACAGAGTTCGAAACGAGAACATTAGAGCAATTGTAGGAACCACACCATGCCTGCAATACATAAAGAAGCAACAAATAGAGTGGTTTGGCCACTTGATGCGAATGCAAACCGACCAACTGCCTCTACGAGCATACAACGAACAGCACTACTGCCCCTGAGCAAGAGGCAGACCGAGAGTACGATGGATAGACAATATATCAGAGATCCTGAGGCAACACGGACTAACAACAACACGTGCAACACACCTGGCCCAGGATAGAAAACTGCGACTCCCCACTATGCTATGAGGCAATTGTGGACAAGACAAGACAAGGCTAAAAAAAAAATTTAATTACACAAAACTTTTACAATATCCATACATTTTCCTATGATCAATACCCAGTCTGAAATAATTGTTGGCCACAATTCAAAGACCGTCAATATGTGAAATATTTGTGACAAGCTTTAGAGAAGGATATTTACTTTACAGAGGCTTAGATATCTACAGCAGTGAACCTCAGAGGCTGAGAATGCTTAATAATAAGATGTATATTTACTTTACCACCAAACTCTTGTAAAAAAGATTGTAGTAGTATTATCTGTGTTGTTCTAACGCCAAGGTACACATAATTTTGTTGATGTCTTTTCAAGTTGTTGCTTCTGTTTTATCATATTATTATTGTTTCTATTTTATTTCTCTATGCAACCTGTTTAAAATTATATTTTTTTTTCGGATTTTAAAAATGTTATCAGCATAAGCCTCTTACTAAGTGTTTGTTGTATACTTAAAAATGTTAAATTGATAGCATTTGTAAACATTTTATATATTTCAGTGTAACATATTTTGGGAGTTGATCTGTAAAGAATGTTCTGTTTATTAACATATTATTCTTTAACATGTTTGGAGTCGGCATATTTACAGAAAAATTGTTCAAAATTTAAAAATAAAACCTGTCTGTGCAACAAACTAAAATATTTACACATCTAATAAACAGAATTTGTTATCAACAAAACTGCATTTGGATTTGTTTCTTTTTTCTCTTCCTTCCTAAAAGTTGTATCAGTAAATGCATTTGGATTTGTTTCTTTTTTCTCTTCCTTCCTAAAAGTTGTATCAGTAAATGCATTTGGATTTGTTTCTTTTTTCTCTTCCTTCCTAAAAGTTGTATCAGTAAATGCATTTGGTTTCCTTTTCCTCTTCCTTCCTAAAAGTTGTATTTAATCATGCCCATAATTCTTCTGTCTTTTAATTTTCTTCTTCTTAGCATTCACCGGTGTAAACTCTAGGGGAAAGTTCTGGTTGTTCATCCACTCTTTGACTTTGGTTCTGTTTTAGAGCTTGATTTTTGCATGCCTATCCATTGCACAGATCTGGCTTATTTGTATGTAGACCGTTGGTCTCTTGCCTTTTAGGCAGATGCACTCTGACTTCAAAGGAGACGTCCTTAATAAGTCACCTTGTACGACATGCTTGTTAAGGGAAAGGGGGTGGGAGTTTGGGTCTATTCATCCCACCCCCCCCCAGATGAGGCACCAGAACCCAAATGAGGATTTTAGTTTTCAGTACAGTATAAATATGATGTAATTATTATCACAGACATAGAATGAGCAACATCAACAACTACGAAAACCCAAGTGAAACCTTAAAATTTAGTTGACAGACCATCCTCATTGCACATCAGACTGACCACTCAGCCCAATGGTTTCTGATTCCCTCCTCAGTTTATCTCCCAAAGTGGCAGCTTCTACCTTGAGTGGCACGTTGCCATCCTGCAGATCACGCCGACATTGTTAACACCCTTAGAGAGATAGGATGATCCAAGGATTTTGGGAGCACCATATCCACATCACTGATAGGAATATGAGAATTGGAAGTAAAGATCGGCACAGGCAAGCATGAGAGGTGCACTGGACATACAAGAAGTCTTGTTAACCAGCATAGAATTGGCACTATTAACCGTGGGAGGCTGGTGTATATGTTGAAAGGGGAATTTGAGCACCTACGGACGTGTCAAAGTGCTGTGAAGATAATCCAACTCATAACTCATCTCCCATCGTGTAGTGGCTGACGACCAATTATGTGTTGGTTTGTTCTTCTTCTTTAGCTCTCTGTTAGTGCTCCTGTCTGTCCTCACCCCTTTTGACTTGC